AAGTGGACACACAGGCGAAACACAAAGCACTCAGAAGCCTGTACACCATGTTTCAGCTTGTTAAACATGGTTTGTGACTTTCTAACATCACCACCAGTGATGTACACCACGATTCAGCTTGTTAAACGTGGTCTGTGACTTTTTAACATCACCACCAGTGATGATCCGGGTTAGAATTGGTCTTCAGTAACCCAAGCTTGTCGTAAGAGGTGACTAACGGGATCGCGTGATCAGACTCGCTGGCTTGGTTGACACATGTCATCGTATCCCAACTGCGTAGAACGATGCTCATGATGTTGATCACTGGATTGTCTGGTCCAGACTCGATTATTTACAGACAGCCTCCATATAGCTGTGATGTTGCTAAGTGCGGCGTTAAACAACAAACAAACCAACAACAAAACAACTATGTCGTATTGGCCAGTAGCAAGAACCTTAGATAAATCAATGATCTAGAATTTGAAAAAGTTTTATTAATTCGTATTTTTATCAAATGGGCAATATTCAGGAGATCAAATGTTTTTCCAAAAGATTCCCACGTGATGAGAACACGTCATGAGAAGTTTACTTCCAGGATGCAACTAACATACCGGTATAGAATACCTCACCATCTCACCTTTTCTAGTTCTTCCAAACGTTTGTGTACACATTCCTGTTGGGTATATACATATATATATATTTTTAAAAAAATTTTTGTTTTGTTTAACGTCACACTCAGCAATATTTCAGGGGACGACCTATAGATATTCGAGTCTGGACCAGACAAGCTAGTGACCACCATCATGAGCATCGATCTAAGCAACTGGGATACGATGACTTTATCAACCAAGTCAGCAAGCCTGACCACCTTGCCTCGCATGAAGAAAGTGTAGTATGTGAGATACCTCGACGACTACATGTATGATCTGATTATCAGAACGTCATTTTGGTTTAAACAATTTAAATGTTTCTCATTTCCCACTTCAGAAGTTCTATGGATTGGTTTACGCGATCTCTACGGTAACAACACGTTCTTCTGGAGTGACGGAGATCCTGTTTTATTCAAGTCTTGGAACCCAAAGGAACCAAGTCACAACTTCGATGGATTTGATGAAGACTGTGTTGCTGCGGATTCTGCATGGGACAAAACCACTTGGACAGACAGAGTTTGCGGAGAAAGATTCACGTTCATGTGTCAGTTGCCATTGAATGAGTGAGTTTGGTTTTACGCCGCTTTATGAATGAATAGCAATTCAATAGCAATGTGACCACATACCGTGAGGACGGAGTTAACAATGATACCAGACCCTGCAAGTGTCAGTTGTGACCACATACCGTGTAAGGACGTGAGTTAACAATGAAGCTTACAGACCCTGCAAGTCCTGTCATTAACGGTGTCAGTTGTGACCACATACCGTGTAAGGACGTGAGTTAACAATGATACTTACAGACCCTGCAAGTCTTGTCATTCAACTGATTTCGGTGTAATACGTCTTTATGTTACCAATACCAAGTTGGAGATTGAATTTTATTATTAATTTATTTTATTATTTATTTATCCAAGATTGGTAGGCAGTGTTCGTCAAGTGAGGGTCGATTCCCGGAACTAATATGTGTAGCCTATTTCTTTTGTACAGCGCCGTAACAATGTTTGACTATTGCCTAACGTGGTGTGAAGACACATTTCCTTGCTCTCTTTTCTTTTCTAACTATCTCTAACAGAAATTTCGATTTGAGAGGGGTGTCCCTTTTAGTTTTATTCCAACTGAATCTCACCGGAAAAAGACTACTTCATAGATTCTGACTTTGTGGCTTTGTAATTTAATACTTTGAATCAAATGAATCTTCATTATATGTCTAATTCTTGTGTTTGTTTGTTTCTTTGTATTTTTATGAAGTGGTGGTTTATCTGTGTCCCATTGTGATCATGCCAAACCTCTGGACATAGTCTATCAGTAGTATGGTGATCTATCTTCAGTTGCTGGTGATCTCTAGCCCGTTTTTATTTATTGTATTGTAAGACAATTTGTTTAATTTTACAATTACATGCTAGTTTTAATTCTCAAACTGTGATAATCTAGTTATCTTACTGTCCTCACTTGACAATATTCCAGCTATAAGGCGGCGGTCTGTGAATATTCGAGTCAATATTCTAACCCAGGACTTTCACGGGTGTTGAAACCTTAGAACACGGTCACGCTGACAAACATGGACTTTTATACCCGATTTACCAGGATTCGGGTTAGATTAGGTTAGATTTTATATAATATAGGTTATTAATAATGTATCGTGCGCAAGCCACACAGCTCTTCACATCGAACTGCCTCGGCATGAGTGAGTGAGTGAGTGAGTTTAGTTTTACGCCGCTTTTTGCAATATTCCGGACTTCACACATTGAACTCATGTGGGGAATCGAACCCGGGTGTTCGGCGTGACGAGCGAACGCTTTAACCACTAGGCTACCCCACCGACCCTTCTCAGCATGAACGTCTGTGCAACAAGTGCGCCCTTGTATAACTGAGAAAAAAAAACCCAGCTTACTCCCTCGCCATTCTCTATATACATTCTACCTTATTCCATTTGCAGTTCAAACTCCGTTCCTAAACGGCGTGGTTCAAAGGTCACCAAACATACAAATATTGTTGTTGTCTTCTGCCAGTGGTGCAACAGCGTTTGCCACATTGTTTGCATTTTAAATATCAGTTCGACACAACGGTGTTGAATGTATATTCGTGGTTAGGAAACCTCAGCAGCTTGTCATGTGGAGTGAGTGGTTGAGTTTGGTTTCACGCCGCCCTCCGCAATATTCCAACAATATCTCCGTTGGTCAAACCATAAATAGTTCATTGTACCCATGTGGGGAATCGAAACCGATCTTCGGTGTGACAAGCAAAAGCCTTAACCACTAGGCTACCTCACCACTGACTGAGTTTAGTTTTACGCCGCTTTTAGCAATATTCCAGCAATATCACGGCGGGGGACACCAGAAATGGGCTTAACACATTGTACCCATGTGGGGAATCGAATCCGGGTCTTCGGCGTGACGAGCCAACGCTTTAACCACTAGGCTACCCCACCGCCCCGCTACCCCACCAAGCCACAAAGTATTGTGTTAGTATTCATGCGTTAACGTCTCATGATGGTTTGGTTTGGTTGTTGTTTAACACCGCAATCAGCAGTATTCCAGCTATATACCGGTGGTCTGTACATAATCGAGTCTGGACCAAACAATCCAGTGATCAACAGCATGAGCATCGTGTCAACCAGGTCAGCGAACCTGACTACCCAATCCCGTCAGTCTTATGAAAATTGACGTCGAACGTGTGAGGAACGTCAAAACGTCGCTTTCACACATGGATGAACGTCAATCTCGTTGTCATGTGACCGGAATCACTCATATTAAAAACTAATTATTTCAAATTAATTCCACAACTAAACTGACCAGCAAAAGAAAGTATACATCGACTTTGACACCAACTGTTTCATGAAGAAAGCAACAGCAGAAAGCAAAAGTGTAATTTATATTCAAGAGCAAACATCGGAGATGATACATGACAAAAATCAGTATAGTACCATAGACAGGTGGACATTTTATGAGCATTTATAATCACGAACCCTTACATTTCAAAAACAAATAAAATGGGAATTGTTGGATACATGTAAACAGATATGCAAACGTTCATTGTTCTGACACAACATATTGTCAATAACGTGTATGACGACCAGCAGCATCGATACAAGCGCGAACACGCCTCCTAATGGACGTTGTCAGACGTCGGATCACACGTTCATCTATCCGATGCCACTCTTCTTGTAAGGCAAGAACCAGCTCCTGTCTCATCTGGGGTGCTTGTCTCCAACGACGGATTTGTCTGTCTAGGTAGTCCCACAGATGTTCTATTGGATTAATATCCGGGGAGCATGCAGGCCAAGGAAGAACGTTATGCTGGTCAAGAAACTCACCGGTCACTCTTGCAATATGGGGTCTGGCGTCGTGCTGAAATAAAATTCTTTGTTGATGGATACAGTGGAATGGCAAGACAACAGGCGTTAACACTTGGTTGACATACTCGTTGGCTGTCAGTCTTCCATCAATGATCACGTGTCTTTTTGTTGCCACATATGCCTCCCCAAACCAAGCTCCACCGCCGCCGTAAGGAAGGATCTCAGATACACTGGGGTGCCAGACACTCACCTCTACGTCGATATACTCCCCCTCTGCCGTCAGCCTTGTGTAGGGAGAAACCACTATCATCTGAAAACAAGACTATTCTCCAATTACGGACTTTCAATCGGTAAACACGGTTTGTCCAAGCCAGTCTGGCAACACGATGTCTATGAGTCAGGTATGGAATCATCAGGGCCATTCCACGGAAAGGTCAATAGGCTCTAATGCCGGTCTCCCGAAGTCTCCCGATGACTGTGCGTGGACCGATGCGACGTCCTAACGCCGTCTCTGATGTTGCCGTCGCCGTCACACATCGGTGACGCAGGTGTGGCGTTGTCACACGTGGACGTCCACTTCTTGGTCGGTCCTGGGTCCTGTCAATCTGCCTGCACCGTTTGAGCAGCCTAGCCACTGTCAAACGTGTACAGCTGAGCGTTCTGGCAATATGAGCCAGTGTTGCACCCATCTCCGCCACACCAACAGCTCTCTCCCTCTGCTCTTGCGTCAAACGTGCCATTATTCTGGTGAGCTTCCATTTGGTGTGGGTCATACGAATGTTTTAACCCAACTTATACCAAAATTCTGCACGTGCATTTCATGCATGTTGTGCACATTCCAGTTTTACCAATTTTTCGTGCTACAACTCCCGTTTACGTTGCTGCGTTTTGGGGACATAATTTATTACATGTCCATTATTAGATAATTACATTTTACCAAGAAGCATTCAATCAAATTAACATTTTAAAGGAATAGACAACTGTTTCCAATGTATACTTTCTTTACCGGTCAGTATATAATTGTCTCACACATCGTAACCGCAATGTCACCCTTTTCCCGTAGAACAACACATACCTTTGCATTTGAGGTGATGAATTTATTCAGAATAACCTTTTAAACTTCACACAAATGTCTCGAAGTACATGTCTCTCGTTTGTCTCTTGCCTTTTATAAATTGACACTTATTTAAATTGGTAGTGACATTTTAAAAGCTACAAGTTACATGGGAACATTTCTAAAATAATTTACTTTTATGATCTCATAAAGTATATAACTTTGACCAGTTTTCAATTTCACAATAAAGGTCCAGTTTTATTGTGAAACATTAGGCTGGAATGCTTCAATTACTTTAATCACCATCGTTCATATCCTACCACAAGTAACTTGATGTAAGTAAAACAGATTGGACAATATTGACATGCATGCTCATTAAAAGTTGCATTTGCAAGCAGAATAAAGAATAAGTTAAGTGACTTGTCAGTGAATACCATCTGACATACGGTTAGTGCACGTCCTGTGGAACTTTGAATATTTACAATATTTTAAAACATCACAGCATATAATATATGTATCATTGTGTTTGTTAGTCCATCACACATCTGTTCAGGGCTTTTAGACACAATCGAAAACTTGTCATCTGGTCCTACTCGTGGCCTGCACCCGTGAAGATACAGGTTAGAATTTCACTTCAGCAACCCAATCTTGTCGTGAGAGGCCACTAACGGGATCAGGTGGTCAGGCTAGCTGACTTGTCATCGTATCCCAGTTGCGTAGATCGATGCTCATGCTGTTGATCACTGGATTGTGTGATCCAGACTCGATTATTTACAGACCGCCGCCATATAGCTGGAATATTGCTGAGTGCGGCGTAAAACAACGAACAGACATAGTCATGGCCACATGACACCTTTACGGATATGTCATGTTTTTAGTTTCTAGAACCCTTTCTTGAATGGCTATGGCATCTCCAGCATGAAGCATGTTGGCACAATAGTTCCTCAACCTCGACAGCTGTAGTGGTAAAACGGTTACTGCTGGTGCAACTCCAAAGATAACGTATTTCGTCATCTAAGTGTCATGCTGGAAGTGAATAGAATATGCTGGTTTTGACACAATATGAAGAACCGATTACGTTGCAAGGAACTCAAGTAACCTAGGTAATGGTAATCAGGATATTGAGTTCTGATGAACTGGCTTCTTCGGATCTGATGCAGGTGTTTCGCCCTGTAGCCAATATGTGGTTACGGCTCCCTTGCCCTGAAAAATGAATGAGTGAGTGAGTTAAGTTTTGCGCCGCTTTTAGCATTATTCCAGCAATATCACTGCGAGGGACACAAGAAATGGAGAAGGAAATGTTGTAACGTCGCATCAGAATATTTAGCTATCGACAGATACAACTGTTTCATAGTGTGTGAATGCGTAGACAATAATATATAAGATGCTGAGGTCATTGGCTGTAAGGACCGTTCCAGTCGAATGTCATAATAAACTCAAAATTGAAATGTTTGTTGGCGTGTGGTCCTGTGTATAGAGATCATAGAGCTCTTGAGAGTTTCTAGGACTTCGGTCCTTCCCCCACAACGAAGCACATATGACTCATGTGGTCTCACCCTAGTTTGTTCAAAATTCACCCAGCAGAAAGTGGGTATCCGGTGGGACAAGTCACGTGACTAATAACCTTCTAGCGACTCACAGGCAGCTTGGGTTATCCGGGGTAATAATGTGTTAGCGCGTTATAAATGGCCATTATTTTCACGTTAACGTATGCGTTAATTTCCTTCACATATGTCACATTTTAGTGAAAATTTAGACACACTTGGAAACAAGTCAATAAAAAGGTCTTTAAAAACACATAACGCAAGTAAAACCAAGCTGAACTGTATTTTGTATTTTGCAAAGTTAAGGTGATGACTAAATGAATCCAAGATACATGTAATGATCTTACCTATTGTACTTTGAAATTGCGTTTATTGTTACCAATATGAGTTAGTTTTTATTCAAAAAAAGCGTTCTCGAACATACCTTCATCTCGACTTCTCCTCTTAGTTCAAGGTCAAAGGTTTCAAATACTTCCAACGCTTCTTTCGTCTGTGGACTGACGTGGATTTTCAATGCTGAAAGCAATACAGATTGTTAATCGAAGACAAACTTAAACTACCGACAGTCTCAAAACTGGAAAATAGTGATTATCGAAGTATTTCAAGGTTTGATCCCCCTACCTATGTCCGATCAATTTTATGGAAGATGTAGACATGCCTGCAGCAGTTTAGGGTTTCCCCCCAATTCAGACTGACACACTGCGATGTACGGAATTACTGTTAAATGCGGCGTAAAATCAAAGTCACTCGCTGACTAAATGCGTTAAAACGAGTTTTTGTACTCCTTAACCTCTTTTAAGACACAAATTATCTCGATTAATTAATTCATTACATGTTCAATTAAATTTATATCTATATTCAGGTCTAAGACTTTCAATGTCCTCATACACACAGACTGAAATGGTATTTTAACATCCCAGTGATACACATCAGTCACAATCATCACACGATGCTTTCTCATAGCTATATGTTCTATCCGTAGATAAACTATTTCTAAACAGTAAACAATACGACTTCTTTGATTGGCATTCTAGGAGTTGGGTAGATGAAGAATGAGGACTATATTTATGGATATACAACTTCTTTATTCGTTATTCGTTGCTTGACTACGACATTAGAATCTATGTCGAAACGTCACCTATATAGAATAGAGAAGTTGTATATCCATAAAAATAGTCCTCATTCTTCAGAAAAAATACGTATGTCTTGTACAAACGGGAATGAATTAGTGGATTTGGAAGAGTAGTTAATAATCCCATCCAAACTGTCATGCACTGATGCCCATTTATCACTTGGACTAGGTGAGTGAGTAGGTTTGGTTTAAAAATGCTTCAACTGACAATATTAGGGTAACATCACAGCATGTACACTTTTACAATAGTTTACAAAATTAATAATGGTTCTTTACTAACATTTCAGGAAAACACGTCATTTGACAAAGGAAACAAAATATGATATAAATAATGAAACAAAACACACACCCAACAACCCCCAAAACAAAACAACAACAACAACAAAACAAAACAAAACAAAACAAAACAAAAACAAAACAAAACAAAACAACAAAAAACAAAACAAAACAAAAAAAACAAAACAAAAACAGGGAATTGATGGCCAGGCTCTCCTCACTGAAGTGATCACCCAGTTTCTGCTGAGTTCGTTATGACTCACGTAATCCATTAGACTCCATCCTGGAGGCCGTGTTGACGGTATCCCCAAACAGGCAATACCTCGGCATCTTGTGACCCACGACACCAGCACAAACTGACCCTGTGAAGGTAGGCAATAGAAACATTACATAATATAACGTCAAGTTTGTCTGTTTGTTGTTTAACGCTGCACTCAGCAATATGTCTTAAATAATCGATTCTGGACTAGACAATCCACTGGTCAACAGCATGAGCATCGATCTACCCAATTGGGATACGATGACATGTGTCAGCTATGTCAGCGAATCTGACCACCCGATCCCGTTAGTCGCCTCTTGCTGAAGACGAATTCTTAACAGAGTCTTAACGCCGTTGGGTTATGACGTTAAATAAATCAAACGGGTGCACGTATACTCGAATACTCGCCTCTCGAATCATACCGGTATCACGTAATTCATAATGTTGGCACCAGTGGATATTCGGGGTTAAAATATTTCGCCATGTGGTCAACGTTCTGGTGTTAATGTACAAAACTCATTTGACCACTTGTGACGTGCCTCTGTCGCCTGCTAGAACCCCGAGTCGAGCTTGTTGACTGGATAATCACGTTCACGCTACCAGGTCACGTTGTCCAGGAACTACTTTTTCATTCATTACAATCACGCGAGCTCACGCATTTATTTTCACTACAGTGGCATTAGTTCGGAGGGGCGGGTGGTCGCCTAGTGGTTAAAGCGTTCGCTCGTCACGCTGAAGACCCGGTTTCGATTCCCCACATGCCTACGATATGTCAAGCCCATTTCTGGTGTCCTCCGTCGTGATATTGCTGGAATATTGCTAAAGCGGCGTAAAAGTAAAGTCACTCACTCACTCATACTGTTTGTGAACTTGATCTTCCCCTGTAGACCAAAGCTTTGTTAAAGAGGAAACTACATGGATCAGGGATTTGACTCACTGTGTGTCACCATTGTTATGTGCATGGGCCAATGCTCGTGATAACAATCACTCAATTGTCTGGTCCAGAATGCTCATGAGTTAAAAACGCTGATACATTTTCACAATAAGTGTGTTATCCGGGATGCATCATTATGCAGTGTAACCATCAACGTTTCATGAGTGACGTCCTTAAGCGTCACATTTGGAAACGTCCTATATATAGGGGAAGTAAGTAGGACACGACCTCAATACTTCCGGTGACAGAGAACGTATATTTCGGTCCGGTCTAGTAGAACATGTCCAACTCAGCTGTAACATATATTGGGACTTTTATAAAACTTTGTTGAGTTACATTCCCACACTTCTAGTGTAAGAACACTTCTCATCGCATTTTACCACATTAACTTCGCCTTCCTACCTGAATGAATGCCAATCCGCAGTTTCATCTGTTGTTCAGGTCGATGGCGAATTTTGAAAGACAGAACAGCATCTAGCAGGGAAAGCGACATCCGGGCAATTTCCCGGGCATGAATATTTCCGTTCCTCACCGGAAGTCCTGACACCACCATGTAAGCATCTCCTATGGTTTCAACCTTGAAAAAACAGAACAGTGTAAGTTCGGGTACAATACACATAGTAACCATCAACATAAGCTGCAAGGCAAAAGAAAGCTAAAGTCCGTTTATGGTGGTATAATTCGATGGCAAATGAATGTATTTTATACGGGCATAGTGGCAGTTTTTTAACATCATATGTGCAGTTTTACGGCGACTGCTTTCAACCAGTGATGTTTTCAGAAAGATAATTTGGTCAAATGAAACAGTATTTTTTACGAGAGTAGATACAGACAGACAAACAGACAGACATATAGATAGAGAGTGTGCCTGTATGAATATACTATTAATGGGTACTGGATGTAGTTTTGATCTCGAATATGTTCAATGGAGTATGATCATTTCGCCAAATGAGTATGGTCAGTTCAAGGTAAAACACCGACCACAATGATATTCTGGGAGTGGGCTCTAAACAATATTTAGTTTCAATCGGCTGCTCAGAAGCAGAAGCTCTTTTAAACGATATATTGTAATTACATGCTTTTTTATCTTAAACCCAGATATTAAACAGTCGGCATCAAGCTATAGAATGATCCGTGTTTCTTACTTTATAGACATCAAAGTTTTCGATGATGGAATCGAACGTCGTGTAGAGGTCGTTCAACAGATCAATAACCTAAAAAATAAAAAAAGTAATATATTATGGCTTTATCCGGTTTCTTTGTTGCCGTTTAAAACAGTACTTTCCTGATACATGAAAACAGCCTATGAATCAGTTGGGTTGGTTGGCAATATTCCAGTTATATGTCGGCGGTCTGTTAATAATCGAGTCTGGACCAGACAATCCAGTGATCAACAGCATGAGCATCATATATTTCTACGCAATTGGGATACGATGACATGTAACAACCAAGTCAGCAAGCCTGACCACCCGATCCCGTTAGTCGCCTCTTACGACAAGCATGGGTTACTGAAGACCAATTCTTACTCGGACCTTCACGGGTTATGAATTAGTAGATCTTATTCAGACAGATGTACGCACATTCATTGGGGTACTGGCTATTGACAGAAATACCCACCTGCATTGGAGTACTAGCCGCGGACAACGCAGTGAACCCACAGATGTCGCTGAAGTAGATGGTCACATGTTCGTACGCCTCAGCTGCTACGGATTCGCCACGGACAAGAGCTTGGGCGACTGATCTGTCGAGTTCAAGATCATAATTAGTGACAGTCTTTGACAAAGAAACCTCCCCTGTTACACCGTTAATAAACCTTTACATGCATTTGATGTCGTTTATACATTGAATATGGAACTGTGGTCGACTGTTATGGATGGACGAGGATTGAGTGAGTGAGTGAGTGAGTGAGTTGGTTTTGAGTGAGTGAGTGATATTCCAGAGTGACACCAGAAATGGGTGGTTTTGATGCCGCTTTTAGCAATATTTTAAGCAATATCACGGCGGGGGACACCAGAAATGGGCTTCACACATTGTACCCATGTGGGAAATCGAACCCGGGTATTCGGCGTGACGGGCGAACGCTTTAACCACTTGGCTACCCACCCCACCGCCCCTGGATGGACGGGGAAACCAAGACATAAGCTAATTCTTAAGGTGGAATACGATGCATGCACTGGATCAGAGCTTCTAATAATTTTAGTAAAAAAGTCAAGGGCAGATAATTGCAATCACCAATTTACAGAAAGCGGGTTACCAATCATTAAGAAAAGAAGAAAAGGCCTGGATATTTTACTACTGCTTCAATCAGTCGTCGGCTACATGTAGCACAGGGTGTTGGCCCAATCACACATAAAATAACTGTTCCAGCTTCCAGGAAAATGACCAATTCGGCTTAAATTCGCTTCATGATTCATTGATTGATTGTTGTTTTACGCCGCACTCAGCAATGTTCCAGCTATATGGCGGCGGTCTGTAAATAATCGAGTGTGGACCAGACAATCCCGTGATCAACATCATGAAGATTCGCTTCAAATGGATCTTATGTTAGTGAGAGAGTTTGTAAACTGTTCCAACAGAAGACTTCAAATGATTTTCACATGACGTGTCTCAGAGCAATCATTTATAGCCCAACCCGAAGAAAATAATAGCACAGCAAACGGTAAATCAATTAATGTTACGGATGAAATATAACTTGAAAAGGTGTCAGTGTAATTTTCATCTTTTAGTTAAACAGATGTTTTAAATTTATCTGTAAGGAGGCTGTATGTTGTGAAAATCTCTGTTTCTCTCTACTTGATTGATTACGCAGGTGACAGTTCGACTTCTCGTTGGCTGAGATTGCACAACACTAAACTAAGCATTCATTGGTCATCCTTATCCAATGGAAACAATTGACTGAAATCTAAAATTTGTTTTTGGGCGTCAAGTTGCACACGGCGAAATTAGCATCTGCTAATGTGGTGTGTTTGAATTTATAATGCAGTTTTAAGGTGTAGCCACGTTTCTTAACATTCGCAAATAATATTCCAGAGGGCAGTTTGGGTAGCCTTCTGGTTAAAGCGTTCGCTCGTCACGCGGAAGGTCCGGGTTCGATTCTCCACATGGGTACACTCATACACCAAAGCGTTCTCTCGAGCTTCTGCACCATTAACATGTTGCGGGTTCATTATTTCATAGCTTGAGTGAGTGAGTGAGTTTGGTTTTACGCCGCTTTTACCAATATTCTAGCAATATCAAGGCGGGGGACACCAGGTATGGGCTTCACATATTGTACCCATGTGGGGATTTGAACCAGGGTCATCGGCGTGACCATCGGGGTGGGGCGTGTGTGGGTGTGTGGGTAGCGTAATGGTTAAAGTGTTGGCTCGTCACGCCGAAGACCCGGGTTCGATTCCCCACATGGGTACAATGTGTGAAGCCCATTTCTGGTGTCCCCCGGCGTGGTGTTGCTGGAATATTGCTAAAGGCGGCGTCAGTCAGTCAGTCAGTCAGTCAGACAAAACTTAGGGTTCCATCCACAAAGTATTCGTAACGTAAGGTAAGTCGTAACTCAGTAGCTTATCATAGGCCAACGACCGCTTTGTGGATCGGGACCCGGAGTAAAAGGCATTATGGTGGAAATGTGAACTATAATACTTTGATTTGTATCAAATGTTTCAGATGATCAATTGATTTGCCTTTGCGTGTGTTTGTAACCGGTATCACACGGTGTCACCTATTTGCTAGTAATTCATATACATATGCTCACGGGCAGTCGGAATCTGATTCTAGTAGTGATTGTTTGTACTGGGAATGGTTTTGTCGCTTTTATATGTCTACTCACTTTGGCAACATCATGTAGAGAAGATCTTCTGCCTTTTTCTTCTCCTCCAGATAATCCGACGTCCTCTCCTCCACAAGGGCCTCCAAGTTGTTGGCGTACTGCTCCATCCGGGACAGCAGGTTGTCAAGGATATTGCCCTTGTCCCCGTCCCTGTAACCAATCAAAAACCTTCATACATTTTCAAATATTTTTTGCTCTTAAACAGGGCCTGGAGCCGCCCAACATATAACGCCTCGCTGTCGGTGTTTACCGAGTTGGTCAACTGGACATGGACATTTGTAGGATCTGAATTTCCGCAGTTCGAATACCATCCCCGAAGGAAGAAATTATGTTGCTGCTACACTGGCGCCGAACGCGTTCATAATTATTAGATTAAACTAAGTTGACTATAATGAAGTTGAATGAGTCTTGGTTCCCTTCAATGCGGATCGGGACGTGCATTGTCGTGACTGGACGGTATGCAGGAGGGCATTGAGTCATCCAACATGTAATATCCTTATGCGGTCGGTGTTCTCACGGAGTTAGCTTGTTTGGTTTTGCGGAAAAGACGTCCGTGGTTCGAATCCCCAGATAAAACTTGAAAATGTTATGGCAATATCAATAGCTGTTTTACTAGTTTTATTCGATTTCAGTAAAATCCGAGCATACTATTTCAGATTTATTATAGCTGTAGAAAGAGTCATAAAAGTGAGCGACAGAGAGACAGACAGCCCAGCTGGAGTGTTTCCTGGAATCAATGATGAAAACATCTGTTGCCAAAGCTCGACACTTCATACAAACTGGATGTGTGTTTTATTGGTCAACGCACCTGTTTAGCTTTCTAATGATGGTCTTCAGAGACTGGAAATCTGGTCGCTCGGCCGGATCCTCAGACCAACATCTTTTGATGACGTCAGCAAGTTCGTCACAGGGGCAGTCGGCATGCTCCAGGGAGGGACGGAAGACGCCGCGACGTCCATCCTTTACGTCTTTGACAAGCTGGTAGACCTCTGAAGAACAGACGGAAATAGGAGATAAAAACATTTGCTTACTTTGATGGCGTACTTTTGATTGGACTCCGGATTTTGGAGTTGGGTTAAGTCTTATGATCTTGGGCGTTTCATCTGGCTCGGATATTTCAGAAACGTCTCATCGTACCTGGGTCCTATGTACACATACAGTAACCCGCTGTAACCTTGAGTATCACCTTACGTCGACATTGCTGTAAATGACTTTTATTGCACCCGGGCATTCCTGTTACCCGGTGCGTGTCATCGCACCTCGATATTGCTGACTGAGCACTGCTTATCAAGTACTTGCACATATATGTTACCTTAAGCGGCTCGCCGCACCCGGATATTGCTGTTACCTTGAGCGTCTGAATGTACCCGAATACCCCTGCTTAACGGACACCCTACCTGGACATTGCTGTTTCCTGGGCCGTTTGATCCTGTTTCTAATGCAGTTTCATCTTCTGTCTCACCGCACCTAGACATTGCCCTTCCCTTGAGCGGGTCATTGTACACGTATATTGTTGTAACATGGGGCATCTCAACCTATCTAGATATTGCTGTAACCTGATTATTGATGTTACCTGAAACGTCTCATCGTAAATGGGCATAGCTGATATCTTGAGGGTCTCAGCGTAATTGAATATTACGGTTTCCTGGAGCTTCTCGTCGTACCCGGTCACCAGAGGTGCGTATCACGTACCTACGTATTGCTCTTACTCGAATAAACATTGCTGTTACCTGGAGCATTTCGACGTAACTGAACACTAAGCGTCTTATCCTACGTGAACTTTGCTGTTACCTGGAACATTTCGCCGAAACTGAATATGAGCGTCTTATCCTACGTGGACTTTGCTGTTACCTGGAGCATTTCGACGTAACTGAACATTGAGCGTCTTATCCTACGTGGACGTTGCTGTTGCTTGGAGCATTTCGCCATAACTGAACATTCAGCGTCTTATCCTACGTGGACGTTGCTGTTACCTGGAACATTTGACCGTAACTGAACATTGAGCGTCTTATCCTACGTGGACGTTGCTGTTACCTGGAACATTTCGCCGTAACTGAACATTCAGCGTCTTATCCTACGTGGACGTTGCTGTTACCTGGAACATCTCGCCATAACTGAACATTCAGCGTCTTATCCTACGTGGACGTTGCTGTTACCTGGAACATTTCGCCGTAACTGAACATTCAGCGTCTTATCCTACGTGGACGTTGCTGTTACCTGGAACATTTCGCCGTAACTGAACATTCAGCGTCTTATCCTACGTGGACGTTGCTGTTACCTGGAACATTTCGCCGTAACTGAACATTGAGCGTCTTATCCTACGTGGACGTTGCTGTTACCCTGGAGCATTTCGCCGTAACTGAACATTGAGCGTCTTATCCTACGTGGACGTTACGTTACCTGGCATTTGACCGTAACTGAACATTGAGCGTCTTATCCTACGTGGACGTTGCTGTTACCTGGAACATTTCGCCGTAACTGAACATTACGTGGAGCGTCTTATCCTTATCCGTGGACGTTGCTGTTACCTGGAGCATTTCGCCGTAACTGAACATTAAGCGTCTTATCCTACGTGGACGTTGCTGTTACCTGGAGCATTTGGCCGTAACTGAACATTGAGCGTCATTGAGCGTCTTATCCTACGTGGACGTTGCTGTTACCTGGAACATGCGGTTACCTGCCGTAACTGAACATTCAGCGTCTTATCCTACGTGGACGTTGCTGTTACCTGGAGCATTTCGCCGTAACTGAACATTGAGCGTCTTATCCTACGTGGACGTTGCTGTTACCTGGAGCATTTCGCCGTAACTGAACATTGAGCGTCTTATCCTACGTGGACGTTGCTGTTACCTGGAGCATTTCGCCGTAACTGAACATTAAGCGTCTTATCGTACGTGGACGTTACTATTACCTGGATCATTTGGTCGTAACTGAACATTGAGCGTCTTATCCTACGTGGACGTTGCTGTTACCTGGAGCATTTCGCCGTAACTGAACATTGAGCGTCTTATCCTACGTGGACGTTGCTGTTACCTGGAGCATTTCGCCGTAACTGAACATTAAGCGTCTTATCCTACGTGGACGTTGCTGTTACCTGGAGCATTTGGCCGTAACTGAACATTGAGCGTCTTATCCTACGTTGACGTTGCTGTTACATGGACCGTCTCATCACACCTGGGTTTTGCGATTATCTGGAGCATCAAACCGAAGTGACACGGTAACTGAACGTTGCTGTCACCAGGAGTTTCTGGTCGTAACTAAATATTCATGTTACCTTGAGTGTCTGTATCTAGATAATGCAGTAAAGAGGGGAATCTCGCAGTTGCTGAATTTTGAAGTTACCAGGAACATCTCCCCGGAACTGAATATAAATGTTACCTTGAGTGTCTCACCGTTCGTGAGACCCGTGAAGATCCGGGTTAGAATTGATCTTCAGTAACCCATGCTTGTCGTAAGAGGCGACTAACGGGATCGGGTTGTCAGACTCGCTGACTTGGGTGACAAATGTCATGGTATCCCAAAATGCGTAGATTGATGCTCATGCTGTTGATCACTGGGTTGTCTGGTCCAGACTCGATTATAGACTTCCATATAGCTTGAATATGGCTGAGTGAGGCGTAAAAATAAACTCAATCAGTCAACGTACCTGGATAATGCAGTGACCTATAGCATCTCCCTGTATCTTAAAATTAATGCTACCTTGTGTGTTTCACCGTACCTGGATAATGCAGTGACCAGGAGCATCTCGCCATAACTGGACATATATGTTACCTTAAGTGACCCACCGAAAATGAGTCAGGTAAATGGTAAAATCCGCAAGGAAAGTTTTGGTTAATAGAAGGGACAAAGAATGTATTAAGTCAGGAGAATATACAGCATCACAGTCTTTGTTCGGCGGCTAGTGAGTATTTGAAATATCATTTTGAAATGACAACAAAAGACATCCACATGTGCAAATATGTGTTTAAAGTGAACATTTAAGATTCACCTTTACATGATCTTGTGACTCATGATCATGTTGTGGATGATTTCTTTTAAATCATTGTTTGTTTATTGGCCTGAATAATGGACTTGAAACTATGATACCGCAACCAAGTAACCCTTTACTCTACTGTCAATTGCAACCTGTTCACCAACATGGCAATTCTGCCCTTTAATTTACCATTCAAAAACATATTCACGATTGAAATGAAAACGAAAACAAATCTTCTATCATCACAAGAAGAATTTTTAACTACATACTCTTCCTTTAGCGATTTCGCCACGGAGACATATGATATTACGACCGTTATCATGACCTTATGTTATTCCGTATTTGGGGGTTAGCTTGAAATTTTCAAAATGTCAATCAAATTTACTTTTTAACACACACAACCAAAAAGTTTAGATAATCTTATTACAATAATTTCACCGGAATGCTCACATTATCCTTTATCATTAGTGTCATCATACCATTTTAATTTTTTTTATCACTTCTGTCGATGTAATAACGGTGTTACGTGGACGGCATCCCGGGAGTTTTAGGTGTTGAACAGAACGTGTAATAGGATTCAATCCTACGGAATCTGAGACTAAGCCTTGTGGGAACCATCTCTTTATTAATAACTCTGAAACAATGTTTACCCTCGGGCGAGAGATCTATGTGATGCATATGAAACACGCCGCTTCTGTACACAATCTCTTGACAGATAATTGCGAAACTGTAGACGTCTCCTTTTTGCGTGCCCTCTGGTGGTCGATCAGGCATGCGTAGAAGTTCCGGCGCTGTCCACAGTGTTCCTGGAAGAGCAAGGGATATTCTTCCATTCAATCTAATTACAGACAACGTCGTGAATCAAAGGAAACGAGGAGAAGAGCCATGTTTGATAAAGAGACAAATTAGTGAGAAGATTTAACTTTCCTCCGGCACATGCTGCAGTTGAAAGAGCTATTGAGGATGACCTGTGTATAATCGTGCCTTGAGGAAATGAACACAGATGCTAAACTCTGCTTCTAAAAGCTGCTTGAACCACGTAACTTCGTTGATCTCTTTGCTAGTGGCCGGAGCGATGTATATTTCATTAGCGAAATCCTTCCGCATCCGGGTAAAAAGTCGAAGACCACTCTTACAACAAATTTACTTAACTGTTGTTTTTTCTAAATTCGCAAGAGATCAAACCATGGTGTTTGTCTATGTTCCTTGGGATGTAGTTTTTTATTCAGCTGCATAACGGGATAGGTTTACGGAACTTGAAAATTATGTGATCTAAAATCTGTTCCTCAAAGCTGGTTTTGTTCGCCGGTGCGTTTTATTTCCAACTTTGATTTACAGGCAAATAAGAGGGAAGAGTTAATCCATCATTACCAGCTGGAAGACCAACTGGAAGTTTCCTTGAACAAAATCTTTCCTTCTAAAATTCCGAAGACTAATTACCTGCTATTCAAGACTATCGACATATGCCTACTTTCGGATCATTTTGTGCATTTAGAAGTTTGTTATTGAATCCGATGTTGCTACCGTAAATTTTGTTTGTATCGTGTAATAATGTGCCATTTTCATACTACAAGTAATAATTATATATAATCAATCCTTAGAAATATTGTAAATACAGTATATGGAAATATTAATGAAACATAGAAATACGATATTTGGTTCCTTCAGCAGAAGTAATATTGAAATATAAATGGAAATACAGAAAAGTATGGAAGTATATAAATTAATGTTTCAGAACTCTCGTTCCTTCAGTACCAGTAATTTTGATATATATAATAGGATCTAGAAAAGTACCAAGGATGTAAATTAATATTTAAGAACTCACACATTCCTTCAAAACCAGTAATATTGAAATATAAATGGGGATCTAGAAAAGTATGGAAGTATACACATTTATGTTTTACACCTGTAGAGTCTTCCGTTCCATTAATATGGAAATATGAATGAAAATAAATGAAATTTTGGAAGTATTCAAGTTAATGTTTTCGATCATTCGAGCCTTAAAACCAGCAGTTTAACTTTATCCTGACGCAACAGACCAGCTATGATCTTTCAGGGTACCCAGTGAGTGAGTTTAGTATAACGACGCTTTTAGCAATATTCCAACAATATCAAGACGGTGGACTCCAGAAATGGGCTTCACATATTAATCCCATGTAGGGAGCTGAACCCGTGTCTTCGGCATGACGAGCTAACGCCTGAACCACTAGGCTATCCCACCGCCCCCACAGGGTACCCAGAAACAAGAATTGGTTTTGCATATATCAGAAAGGTTCGCAGTGTCACAGTATGAAATTAGTTCCACAGTATCCAATTAAAGCCAATTCCCTCAAAATTGAAATCCGATGTCTCAACTGAATTGAATTTCGTTCTAATTCAATATACCGACACAACCGTAAGACATCCATTTGCGAAACTTTGTCGACTAATTAACTGACTACTGTATCGTGCAAATGTGTAAATATTTAAAATGTTTTTACAACAATCACAGAGTCTGCCGTTCATCATTATCGTGATCATGAATTAGTAAACGCCCCCTGCTGAACCATGCTTTATATCACAGACATCATTGGTCGCGCTCAACTAACTATTGTGTCAGGTTTCAAAGCATCTTCATCAGCTGATTGAGAGGTGAACGCCATCAAGAGACATAATTGTGGGTTTATTTATTTCGGCCTCAGAAATAACAGATTCCCGTAGCTTACAAAAGTGGAACATTACACATTCCTAATGAGGGTGGTTACATGCGTGTCAACGACCCTGTATAGTAAAGAATGTATTTCACATTTAAGTCAGATTCACTAGACCATGAGCTACCTAATGATTTGCGAAAAAGGTTTCAAAGTTAAATGTGTTTAGATGCTTCAATACATACACATTATTCACGAACCACTGTTTGCTTACTGAAAGCAATCAGTCCGATTCGAAAACAGGTTTTGATGAGCAGATCAAAAGAATGAAAGAATCGATTTTGGATTTAGAAACCATTTGGTATATGGTATGGTGCTTAAAGACAAACAGTGTTAACACCGATGGGATATAACTTATTGCCAACTGTTTCAAGCTCATCAGTTTGTCACGCAAAGGAACTAATTGTACTCTTGTAATATGACCACTCAACTGTTTGACTTCATCGGTTTGCAATGGCGAAGTAACATTACATGACTTCCAGGGCTGGCTAAAACAATCGATAATCGGAAATATCGTCGAATTGGGCTTCACACATTGTGCCCACGTGGGGGATCGAACCCGGTTCCTCGGCGTGACGAGCGGACGCCTTAACCACTAGGCTACCCCACCGCCCCTGGTAATGTTTCTTAATAACAGCCAATAGACCCCGAGCTTACTCTGCTCTGATGTCTTTTTCTGTGGCAGATGTTTCGGCGTCAGTGACCGCACCATGCTTCTCCTTATTGTAAACAATAGAATTTATCCCTACATTAGAACAGACGGGCCCCAAAACAAGATATTCACCGCTTTTACACATAGTATATATTTTAGGTACATATACTAATCAACTGATTCCCCACATTGGTGCAATGCGGTGATATTGCTGAAATATTGCTAAAAGCGGCGGAAAACTACACTCACTCACTCATTACTATACAACTGCGACAGTAAGGTCGATGACAATGTATTTTCACACAGACAATGACAGCATGTGGAGATACATACGCAAATGGGAACAGGGTTTAGTGTTTTAGATATTTTCGCAATTAAAGTTTTACACTGTTCTTGAAAATGCGCAGAATCGTCCAGAATTAATTACATGAAAGTGGACTGTGTACGTTGTATCCTTGTAACTGTGAGTGAGTACGTTTTTACACCGCTGTTAGCAATATTGTTCTTGTGACAGAGGTACTTAGCTTGCCACATAGGCCGATTCTTTGAAATGAAGAAGATGAGAAACATTGGTTCCTGATCTTATCAAGCTGACAATATTACTAGCATTGTATTTGTAGCTCCCTGTAAACAGAGTACATGACTCTCTATTCAGATGTCAAGACCCAAGCCATTGTATTCTGCACAACGAGTGCGATGACGGCGTCCCTGTTCGGAGTTCTAATGTTTTGGTTTGAGAAATAAATTGGTCCGTCACACCCGGAAATGATTTTATGGATGCTCTACAATACACGAACCGTCGGCGTCCTGATGTTTACACATTGAGCTAAGGACACATTCCATGGAAATGATTTGTTACAAAATACGCACAAATGCTGCAATTAATTTTTGGTTACGTCATAGTCACGTGAACGAAATTACTTCCAATATCGTTTCCTGTCAACATCGACCTGAAGTCGACCCAAAGGAGAATATGACATAACTAACTGTTATGAAAGGCGAAAGTGCTCTCCTGTTCCAAGGCCTTGACCTTCCCTGAAGTAATCATAGTCACGTGAAAGAAAGTATTTCCAATTTGGGCTCCTTTCAATGCCTGTCGAGGTTCTGATGGACTAAGTTAAGCAGGATGGTAAATGGGATAACTTACTGTTATAGAAGGCGAATGTGCTCTCCTGTTCCATAAGGCCTTGACCTTCCCGGAAGTAGTGAAGGCCGAAGTCGGTGATTTTAACAACAAATCTGCTGTCCACCACACAGTTGGTGCTCTTTAGGTTGCCATGGCTTCTTATGTCGCTGCTGTGTAGATATGCCATACCCTGCAACCAGAAACGCTTTGGATTGAAATAAAGTTTAAATGACGTGTAAATTCTGACTGTTTTTTCTCGTTCGGTTTTCGAACTCTACACTACACATTCAGGGTAAACTGTTTCATTGGCAATTTACAATCTCATGACTTAAAGTGGTCGCAAGATACTTTACTTTATGACAGTTCCCTCATTCTGTTATGATGCATCTTTTCAGAACCAGTCCTTATCATTGTACCGCCGATATCATAGTCACACTTCTTGTTTCATACCAAAACATCCCATCACGACCGAATTTAAAAACATTGCCACATCTAAAAGTATCTTGCATTTACTGAAATTCTGAATGTTTAAACAAATTCCAATTTTTAGTCTGATGGTTAGGAATTAATTAACCTTTTTCGATAAAGTGCGGAGCCTCTGTTGGATGGGTGAGCATGCTGTATTCAGCAGTATTCCTGCAATATCATAGCGGTTGACACCAGAAATGGGTTTCACATATTTACCTATGTCGGGAATCGAACCATGGATTTGGGCGTGCTAAGTACTCCACCGTTCCCTACAATGTTTCGATTTTTGTTAGTGGAGCCAGTGCATGGTCGAGTGTGTTTTCCCCTTTCCTCGGCTACAGCGAAGAAGGTAGTGATCAAATCAGGTAATACGAATTGGTTCCGAAAATGTAGATCATTGTATGAAGTTTACCGTTATTAATTTCATTATGATGATAGTACATCTTTATAACTGTATGTGTTAAGGTAAGTTAATAGATCAAAGGATACTGTTGGCATCAGTCTACTGTTGTAGCTAAGACACAGGACAAAATATTGTTTACGACATCACAATGGAATAATCTTCCATTCAGCCGCCATCAGACATGGGTGTAAAAACTATTTTACCTACACGTTTACTTCTGCGCTAGTATTTGTTTCTTTGTTGGGCAACATCACGCTCAGTAATATTCCAGCTATATCGTGGTAGTGTGTAAATAATCGATTCTGGACCAGACAATCTAGTGATCAACAGCATGAACATCGATCTATGCAATTGGAGTGCGATGACATGTGTCAACCAAGTCAGCGAGTCTGGCCACCCGATCCCGTTAGTCGCCTCTTACGAAAAGCATTGGTTGCTGAAGACCACTCTAATCCGGACCTTCACGATTCTACTGCGCTACTTGACATCGTGTAAACAAACATAATACTTACCCTTACTATGTCCTGCATTATGGAGTACCGAAACATCCAGTCAAGTTTTATTTGATCATTTTCCAGTACATCCTGTAATTATAATAAAGTTACAATACAAAGTATAGACTAACGCTTAGTCTCTGAATATATATATATATATATATATATATATATATACATATATATATATATGCAATTGGAATGCGATGACATGTGTCAAACAAGTCAGCAAGTCTGACCACCCGATCCCGTTAGTGGCCTCTTATTAGTGGCCTCAGTAACAAACAAGCCCATTTAAATTGAAAAGGAGCCCCAGGGAGACCAGAGATGAACCTGAGTAAATCTAGACTTGCTTCACTTAGGGCTTTAGCACTGCATAGAGGGCTGGGCAGTAGGGATAATAACGTGGTTCAGGGGTTGCGACACAGACTACACAAAGTAGAGTGTACACAGTTATCACTGCACGTGAGAGTCGGTCACCATTTTTACCTGGACGTGCAATACTGCGTCGTATACAGACAATAGGTCTTTAGGAAGATGTATTAATTAAGTAAAAGTGGATTTACCTGTAAACTACCTTTAGGGCAATATTCGGTGAGTATGCATTGGTTGGGTACATCTATGCACGCTCCAACGAATCTGACGATATGGTCGTTCTGTAAGTCTTTTACCTGAAAAGGAGGGGTGAAATGTGTACATTGTCTCACACAGATCTTAGATTGTAATTTCTACAATATTATTATTTTTATTATGTTATAGTGATAGCGAAGACGATCACGTTGCATATTATCAATATGAGGACAATTACATTAATTTCGTTATTTTAAAATTGTCTCTTACCCGTTTCACCTCCAGTAACAACGGTTTGCTGATTGTTATGGTTGCCCTCCGTATTGGCTTTATGGCAACTATTGCACCCTGTAGAAACAATTATGGAATATATTCTTCGCAGTTATTTACCATAGCGTCATAATTGCTCCAGACTGTATACAGAAATGTGTGTTGGCGTGTATGCATGTTTAGCGTGTGTGTGTGTGCGTGCGTGCGTGGGTGCGTATGTGTGTGAGAGATAGAGAGAATCAGGGTGGTTGGGGTGGTGAGTGACGTGCGTGGGATTTTTGAGTTGCGGGTGAGAAGAGATCCCAAGCAATGGGTCATTTGTTCGGATGGATTAACTTGTGACTAAATTAGCGTTGTTCTATATCGTTGTTCATACTATCCATCACTCGTTTATACACAGACCCACGTCACATAGCTGCAACTGGATGAACTAACAAACAATACAATCATTGTATCTGGTTTTAAATGTGCTTGCTTCAGATGGTGGGGTTCATTGGGAGTTGAGGGTGGAGATCGTTGTGTATTATTTAGTATTATATGTGGAAAAGCATGCAAACTATGTGCAATCTTTCATTGCTACGATAAGCAATGCGGCGACTGAACCCCAAGCGTCACCGTGTCCCCTATTTTAACTATTACAGAAAGTTATGTAGCAGTATTTTTCATTGTGTAACAATGTCCCAAATGTAGTGCATTGTGTGCCTGTTGACATTCAGTAGAGGGCAATGGAGTGCTCTATATTTAGACTTGTGCTATATTTAGACAGAGATCTGGAATGTGCTACAACCCTGTGTACCTTTCCATTATATCAACACCCAGGGAGTTGGAGAATCTCCTGGAGTATTTTTCGTAGTTATAGGACTGGAACTCTTGCCTCACGAAGAGTATGTACAGTCCGTTTGATTTCGTTTGAAACCGATGAATTGCTCACTAACACAAAATGTAATAGTGGCAACAACACCCAATGTTCGCTATTTTTTTACGAGGGGGACCACTTACTGATAGAACAGCCAGGTAATCAACAAGCGTGTGCAGTGAAATTTCAATTTCACAAGTGCAACTCGCACACCTGGCTGTTCTACCACCAAGTGGTTGGTGTTGTTGAAAAAATAGCGAAAAGTGAAAAAACGAAATCAAACAAAATAGTGATCGTTTGTTAAACAACTTTTTTATTCGGGTGTCCAAAATTATGAGACAAATCACCAGAGTTGGTCTGTCGATTTACTGTAACTGTGCAAAAATTGGTTTTGTTGCAATGATTAGATTTTGTGTGCAATTCATCGGTCTCAAATGAAATCAAACGGACTGTAGTAAATGTGCGGAGATCATTGTTACTCTGGTCCTATATTGGAAACTTGACTATTGTTACAGTCAGATGAATACCACCAACTTGCCTTTATTGCTATAAGTTCTACGTTTATTTTTAATTATAGAATAATATTTCTAATTATATCACATTTCTGACTTCAAGTTAACTACTGCATTAGTTTCAACTTGGGAATAAAAACGTAACAACAACATCATCTTCACCTTGTAGTAGCCTGTTTTTGTAAAAAGCTGTTTGTTGGCGCTGTCGTTGAGGTGTGCAATGGTATCCCCCGAACACGTGCTCATGTAGGAATTTTTCTGAAAAAGAAGAAATTTACATTCACGCACAATTCGTACAAACCCAAATGAACCATATTTGACCAGCATTTGACCAGTTTGTAAACAGCGCTGTGTATTCCTAGTTTCGGTCATGATCGTCAGTTGTCAGAGGGTTACACAAAGTACGCGATCTGGACTATCTGTTGTCAGACTTCCATTTTTGTTGAAGATGCGATGGCTGAGTGGGTTAGATCGCTTACTTTGTGTGCTGGTGAAAGGTCCCTCACTTGGGAGTGTACATGTGGGTTTGAATGGGATGGGACCAAACCCCTCAAAATACTAGAATACATACTGAGAAAGTGTAATTCTTGCACACGTCATCAACAATCACTGGATAGGTTGGTCCTGGCTCGATTTATTACATACCACCGTCATGTACCTGAAACTTTGCTGACTATAAGTAAAAACTTAGTAAGAGTTGAGTTTCAAAAATTGAGTTTTCTTTGACGCTCACGTGAGTACCATACAGGTCAGAAACCAGCGTATTTCATGAAGGCGAAGAGTAGTTGCATGGATAACTACGTTTTTTAACTATGTCTCTTAACAGCTTCTTGGGCTTCAGGCTTGCCCATCATCGAAGCAAATAGATAGATAGTGTCTCCTTGGCAACATGTTTAGTTTGACGCATGCTTCTGCCACTGAGAAGGAAACTGGTATCCGGAGACAGTTAGGTGACTGTTAATATTCCACCGCCCACCTTGGCTGCATTCTCCCAAGGGAGCTGAGAACGAAAGTCGAATGTGCACACTGATCCATTTAATACAATGGCGGTGATTTCATCATGCTTCAACGGAAATCCTACAACGCATTCAGGTATCAATACTTATATATTAATAAACAGTCCTCTCGGATAATATTCTCGGATACCGCAATATCTAATAGGTCTTAAACAATTGAAAACCGTTCTATCACATTATATCAACTGTGACAGTTACAGATAGGAAACTCAGGACATTCAATATCAAGCCACGAAAATCGCGTTATTTCTAACTTCATCTCATTTACTGTCTAGATTTATCTTCATTAATGGTGTGGCTGTATCGTCCAGTGACACGGTAACACTAGCGTCATGTACAAATGAGGTACGTTTCAGTAAAATTTCAACCCACGTGTATATTTCAACGTAACTGTGTGAATAATTATGGGATCATATTCCACTTTGTCTATGTGAGAACTCATACAAATAAAGTATGCACACGTTCGTGTCGATAGTTTCACTGACATGCTATATATCACGATTTCCGTCTGACAAACACACAGCGAATCTTGATGAAGAAGAATAGGCTCATTGCATGTACATTTAACTCATATAACTTTTACTGGAAAACTTGGGGAGGAAAACAAGGCAAACGAGTTACGAGAAAATGCATGTTGTGTGCAAGATGTAGTACGTTGTCATGTCTGAACAGAAAGTGCAAGAAAATGTTTCTCTAATGAGTGGAAAGCTTGAAAAACAACGTATATTGAACGCTCATTTCAAACTTTCAAAGGTTGAGTTATCGTTGCAAACAAAAGGGTCATTAAATTTACGGACTTTAATCTGGGATGTGTGTTTAAAGTGCTTGTATGCAAGACAACACGAGACGGTCATGTTTGGCTGCGGACGTTAAGCTTTCAAAATTTGCATATCCGATGATCATTTTTATTGCATTCCTGTAAATATAATTCTAGTTATAACTTACTGTGAACTTATTCAGTCACCTCCGAGTATGTTAGTATCGGGTTTCTGGTTATATTGTATTGACCTGCAATGTGTTGGATAAATGAGTTTCTTACCATCCACTAGTTTACTGTTATTTATGGGAGCTAAGAGTTCAACGGTTCTTTCACTTGTTTACCATTTCACTGCATTTGTCTGCATGGCGAAAGGGATCATTTCAACTTTCCAACTTTCCAATAGTCAACTTCCCTTTCATGTCGAGCACTATTCCCACAGTTCCAGCCTTTGGTGTTTACATTTCACAGGTTTTGAGGTACAACCAAGCATGCTCGTTTTATCAGGTTCCGAAGAGCGCCGTACCCTATGGCCAGAAATTGTTTCATCATGTTTACAATATTCAAGGCCTCAGTGAAGCTTTCAAGAAGTTTTGTGGTCGACATGTGGAGGAAATTTCCAAATTTGATGCATCAATGACAAGAATGATGTCCGATGCATTTCCCTATTTTGACTTATAACATACGTTCCGTAATTATTTCAGATGGACAATTGACTGGACATAGCATATTGCCCACCGGTGGGTCAGGGTACGCTCACCTTTTCGCGAACACCTGGTATCATCACTATTTCATAGTGATTTCTAAACACATGCTCTGTCATCGTATGGCATGGTGACAATCACTGGATTGCCTGGTCCAGACTCGATCAGGTAAGGGTTTTGTCGCTTCTATTATGTCTGTTAATCTGGAACATTCTGGACAGGCAATACTGCATCTGGTCTGGTGACTTTGGAAAGTTGCCAGTAAGACTCTGACCAAAAGTTTTGGAATTGTATATAGTGCTGGAATGATGGATTTTGGAAGATTTAAAATTGATACTAGAGGTGTAACGATAGGATTATGTGGGTGCAATACGATTCGTATCATGATAAGGTAATTTTATCATATATCCTTCGTCTTTTTTGCAGGTTAATCGAACAAAAAATCATTTGTTTGCAAAGTTCAGATCGCAAACTTGGGATATTGTCGGCTAGAAACATGTAAAATTCTGAGATTTAAATCCAACTAGGAAGTACTTGAGAATCTGATAAACCGCTTCCAGAGCAGATTCTGTTATCAGGCACGTGTTTTGGCATAAATATAACTTGTAAAGTAATGAATCGTATATAGTACGATACAGGATTTATAAATCGGTGGATTGTACCGTGAGTCTCACATCGCGATACACTACTGTTTTGGAGTGCTAATTCACCTCTGGTACTGTTGAAAAAAATATATTTCTAGGGTTTAACTGGTTAAAAAAGGCGACAGGCACCTTTCCATCAGTATACGAAATCTTTGCTATTTCCAAAGCACGAGCAGGGCTCCAGATAACTTTTGTGGGGGTGCGAGTGTACTTACACATCATATTGCAAGTGGAGGTGTACTGAGAATTTTGAAGGAGTACTGACATGTTTTTGTGTGAGCGAGTTGGTGATGTGGTTTGTCTGGACGATTCATCGATCACTATTTCCAACCATGTATTTGTATTTGAAGACGCGTGAGAAATAACTGAGCGACCGTGTGATGCGCGAAATGTCAGGTCCGACTGGATATAAATAGGAACAGTGTAGTTTTTAGCCAATCGAAAAATAGTGACGCATATCGTTGCATGGCAACGCAAGTGATTCCTACTGTCGGGGTTTCCTCATGTGTCAAATCGTGTTTCGCAAAAGAAACTTGACAAGTATTTATCCGAAATAGATTTCCATTTGCACGATACGCACGGAAATTAAATGTTAGACGTACAAAGGTATTTATGTGCGTACACGATACGCTTGAAATCTTATATTATGTCGTACTTAATTGATTTTGAGGCGTACATTACGCCTGTACGCCCCTTATCTGTAGCCGTGCCGAGTATAAATAAATCATTAATTTGAGCGATGACATCAAGTGTTCGGGAGAAGGGGAGTGAGATCTCCATTGCCGGTGAAATACGTCATAAACGCACGCAAAGGCAATGAATGACCAGGGTAGCATATGGTTCACGTCAAAATATTGAATTGCTTTGCACATCGTTTGATCACCAGGCCCCGATTTCTTGAAACAAGCTTAAGTCTGAGTTTTGACTTAAGTTACAGTTTTTACTCAAATTTGAGAAAAACAAGGAAAATGCATTTCCCAGAATAAACTGAAATGGATGTTAAACTCAAACTTAGTAGACTATTTGAGTTCGGTAGATAGGTTACATGAACTGTTTTGTCTTAATGGTTTTAGAATTGCGACTGAGTTAGAAACTCAGCTGTTTCAAATTCTCAAACTCAGTTTGAAATTTGAGTAAAAACTTAAGCTTGTTTAGAGAAATCAAGTCCAGGACAACAAATTTGGCATATCTCCCACATATCTATCATAAATGCTCTTAAAACCTTTATTCAGGCCTTGGCTGATGAAATCCTGATCAAAAAGCGTTTTGAGCTTGAAATATTGAAAGAAAACATGTTGGCTATGACATAGGTATCCAAAGTAAACTAGGTAATGGCGCGGTATCATCCATGGCATACGTCTTACCACCAAAATTCGATAACAAGACAATACATGGTAGTAAATCGACAAACCGATCTACAATATTGAACTAAGCTCTTAATTATTGTATTCCTCAGAGTGTATGAAAGACCACGTCGTTCAAAGTATATTTAATCTGTTCACATTTCTAATCGTAGTATTATTTGTTCTTTTACATTATTTGTCTACCTTGTCAACCCCTGAATGGAGGATGTAAATCCAGCTAGGGTTCATGAAGGCAGCAAAACTACTGAAAGTCCACATGGTCCCATGTATGCACTCTCCTACCCAGAGTTCCATGCGGCAAGCCAGCATAGTATCTCTGCCACAGGCCAGACAAAATGTGACGATTCGTCACATCTTGCACCGTCCATTCAACATAATTTACATATTTCTCAACTCTTTTATTTTTGACGAGTCTACACAACTAATTAAACATGTTTGATAGAATGGTTTAGTTTCATTGAGAAAATATCCTAAAACATGTAACACTATTTCGATTTGCGTAGCGATCCTTTGTTTACATAGGTTGTACGGCTCCATGTGCTGTCATCGAAGCTGATGTAGAGCAAACGATGCAGCCAGTTTGATATCTAAATATGTACTGTCATTTGCCTTACTGTCGCAGTTGTGGAAGAATATATATGTAACAATGTAAAACATTATGAAGAGAGCGCCGAAAAGCTTTCGTAAGTCCAGTCTCTTCTTATTATGAATATGCGCGTTTGATTACAAACAAGAGAAAAGTCCGGTCACGTGATATGCAAATTAGCCTGTGGCGGTGATGTTATGTTAAGTCATCGCTGTGCCGGAGTGTGCCATGTATGGTGATCTGCCTGCATTTGTTGGCGACCTATAACCTGTTTTATAATGTATTGTATTTGTAATTCTAGCACGACATTGTGTGATACTCGATTCTGATTGGCTGAGAGCTCATCAAAACCGTACTTAAATGGCAGTTTAAGACCGCTAATTAAAGTGACCGATTCACCGCGTATGAATACAACGAACTCGTTGACCTTATTGTTTGTAAACAAACATGTCGGACATCGGCAATTACCGTTCGGTTTTTAAATTACATTAAGCGGTCTTAAATCAACGACAAAAGACCTTGAAATTGAAAACAGAGTAGCTTTATCTTCTAAGTAAAATAGTTTTTAATGTATTTATTATGATATGCAAAACGCAAAATTTTAACGTACTCACTCACTGATAGATTTTAATCCAGTAACACTTTTGAGGACAGTGACGTAATTAACCCGTTAAAATACCGTCAACTCCTATTAGTGTGAGTGTCGAGTTAATGTTTAAAACGACCACAAGTATCAAGTCTCTAATGATATACAAGGACAAACTATATTTAGAACAATGAGCGTTAACTGAATAGGCCTTCGCTACAGGCGCTATCCGCAATACCATTTGAACATGTGGAAAGTTAAAATACATTTATTCCAAAAACCGAAAATCAATATATTATGTGGTTGCCATTTTCTAAAGTTCATTCTATCCAGTCCCTAGCCGATTTCATATCGCCACGAGTTGAGAGGTTTAACATAATGTTATCTCAGCAGGTATCTGTGAAATTAATACCGATGGTGTCAATTCCATAGAATACCATAGGCGTGTTACGTTTACTAAAGTGTAACAGAACCGCGGTTCTCGTGTGCCCGAGATGTGCTTCCATGTAGGACTTATGATCAATGCCATGGGGCTTTCTAGTATTAAAGATTCCAGACAAAATGGTATTATGAAATACAACAGCTATGACCTTGTGCGGTATTTAGGCAAAGTCACAATTTCATTGCGAGGATGAAGGAGGTAAATAGGTGGTTGGACCGTACATTAGCTTAGGGTTAGATTCTTCACATGACAAGAATCTGTGAAATCTGTGTCTGGCGTGACCTTGGGATGTTTGGATTATTGCTCAAAGCTGAGGACACACACACACACACACACACACACACACACACACACACACACACACACACACACACACACACACACACACACACACACACACACACACACGCACGCACGCACGCACGCGCGCGCGCACACACGCACACACACACAATACATTACACTGCGAGTAGTATCCCCATCTGATTATCTCAGGACATTCAGCAACATCGTACTTAACAATGACAACCTTGGTACGATGTCGGAGATTTAACTCACTACCCTATAGAAAGATCATCACTTTAGGGTCCTTCATACTATCAAAAAGGTTCAGCTCGTTAAAATTTGGAATTATGAAAAACAAACTAGGATTTTTAACCAAATTTAATTGCACAACTTCACTCGAAAAGAAGTCTGTATTTCGCCGCAGTGTATGAACATATGCCAATCTTCTGATGCTTAAGATTCCAAGATGATTCTTAGAGTTTGAATGGTACTAGAAAGTCTCCTGAAGATAGTCTCCAATGCATGCCACAAGCTCATGTCGTGAGCCAAAAATGGAAAATTCTCAAAATTACATATTTTAGGATGTGGTGCATTTCGGCATCGGCATTTCTTGACTTGACTTTGTGTTAAATGTTCCTTGAATACAGGTATTAAATCACAATGAGAAAAGAGAAATTTGACTTAAATGAGTTTGAATATACGCCGCTGCTACCACCTTTCAGCACTGAACACGCAAGATATTGAATTCACATAAAGATGGTGGTGTGCGGTTTTGGGCATACAGCCTAGGTCACAAATCAGTTGAGGGGCGGTGGGGTAGCCAAGTGGTTAAAGCGTTGGCTCGTCACGCCGAAGACCCGGGTTCGATTCCCCACATGGGCACAATGTGTGAAGCCCAATTCTGGTATCCCCCGCCGTGATATTGCTGGAATATTGCTAAAAGCGGCGTAAAACAAAACTCAGTCAGTCACAAATCAGTTGAAGTTATATAATAAGCAACGTTGGTCACGGAGAGACCTTGGATGGGTGACTCATGCTTCATTCCTAAACGTTTCACGGACTTCTGTCCTGCCCTACAGCGAAACACACCCAGCAGGGGTACCCGGTGGGATAAGTATTAACCTTCTACCGCATCATAGGAAACTTGGGTTATCTGTGGTAATAATGTCCAACATGTTGTATGCATTTTGAGCATGTCTGTGTGGCGTGGAACTTAGTGCTGTGTAAGTGGCCTTATCATTAGTACCGATGTGGGGAATGAAATAACTCGAATCAGGGTCTCCTGCGCAAAGAATGGCTTCGTTAAATATTTGGCTACTTCTCTGGCAAAAATATATAGTTCTTCTTCGTCGCTATTCTAACAGGAGACTTCAGAACACACCAAAACCCGGACCGATGCCAGAGCTGTAACCACTACACTACCCTCCCGCCCCCAGTACCAACTCACCCTAGTGACTCCACGGCGACTCCCCTGTCTGTCCAGCTTCTTGTTCCTCTCCGGGGACCCAAACAAGATGTCCTCCCACCGCACCCTCCAGTTCATCTCAGCCAGTTCCGCCTCCAGACGGATGTGCCTGTAACACGATCAGCAAGCAGACAAGGTTAAACTGATGTACTGAAACATAATATTGGACTCCCATACTCTCTCAACACAATTGAGACCCGTGAGTGTCCGGGTTAAAATAAATCTTCAGTAACCAATGCTTGTCGTAAGAGGCGACTAACGGGATCGGGTGGTCAGGCTCGCTGACTTGCTTGACACATGTCATCGGTTCCCAATTGCGTAGAACGATTCTCATGTTGTTGATGACTGGATTGTCTGGTCCAGACTCGATTATTTACAGACCGCCGCTATTTAGCTGGAATATTGCTGAATGCGGCGTAAAACTAAACTCCCTCACTCAGCACAAGTGATTGGTGAAAGGGGGCGAGTGGCCAGAGTTGTGTCCCTTAGTTGCACTAGGATCTGCTAATTACAAACACACATTAACTCGGTGCGCCTAGTGGCTGCAAGAGTTGTATACTCCCCATGGAGTTGACATCCAATGTTCGACGAAAAAATACCAGCGCCTTGAGCATGCATTAGTTGCCTGGATATGTGCGCTATATAAATATCATATAACAAAATATCCTATAATTATTGTCGCGAATTATGGTCCTTGGCCTGTCAGCGCCTAACCAATGACTAACGAGATGGTGATGTTCCTTCGAAATCAGTGTGACAATCTGTTAAATTTATGTCTTTAAATGACATTCATCCACCCATTCGGTTTAACAGAACTTTGAATGCTACTTCAGATAAATAACGGCCTGACACCATAAGGCTTGATGATAATGGGTGTAGGTGACTTAGAAACCCATTACAAACGACTTAGCTAGTTTCTAGAATTCACGCTAAAGAGATTTCATTTCCTGGTCCGTGGTCAGTCTAATTCACGCTCTAAACGAACAATATTCAGTCAGATCATGAACATTACCGCTCATCTGTCAAATAATTGTCTCAAGCTAAAGTTTAACATTCCGCGACATCTCAGCTGAACGAAACTATCAAAGTCAACAATATGACGAGGCATACACATATTGTATATGGTCCTGCTTCTATGGGATACAAAAGAGGTGAGGTGAGGTAAAATGGGGTTTAACGTCGTACTTATTTCGTTCATATGACGTCGTGCATGCGTGTGTATGTGTGGCTGCTTGTAGTAGCCCAGACTGAAGCTGATTTTATAGTGCTAGTTTACTGAGATACCATGCCGCAGTAAACGACTCCGAAACGACCAGTCCTTGTTATACCCATGAATGCCGAGCGCCAGACAAGGACCAACAAGTACCATATTTTAACGCCTTTTGGTATGACGTGGCCGGGGATCGAATCCGCGACCTTCCGCTCTCTAGCCGGACACCACAGAGGCAGTCGAATATAAAAGCACACTGACATGTTCATAACATGTTTACGTAACAGTAAAATGAGATATGATGGGAAAAGTGATGCTTATTACCATTAGCAGGAGGGAGGACTTGGTAGACCTGAGTAGCAAATGGCATATACATGTATAGAGATTTTCACACGAGCAAGTGTGTCATACGACTTTATAGGAAACGAGTATGAAATTTTGCATACATAATTTTTGCACGAGTTACGTATAAGTCATATATGACACACTTGCTCGAGTGTAATAATTTCTTTATTATCCATATTATTCATGTACATTTGTGCAGTAAAACACGGTAAGCAAGTGTGACGGCTCTCTTCATTGACGTCACATTCAATTATTTAATGACGACGTCATTGTGAACAACCTGAAGGGAAGTTGACCAGTATGTAATGTGAATGACAAATTGCCTGCTTTTGAATTTAGTGCTATGACATTTCCTGTTGTTAAATAATAATGTAATAAATATATGTTTTTTTAAAATAGAACTTATTTGGACTTTGTACTTAAAAAGTTTATGAATACAGACTTGATCTAGTTACTATATGGCTGGAATAATGCCGATGTGACGTAAAGACCAACTCAACCCAACCTCAACCCAAAGACGATGAAATACAGAAACAATGGTTGCTAGGCCAAGGTGATATGTGCACATGTGCAGATATGATATATATGACTCTGGTTATGTTTCACCATATGGGTAATAGATGACAGTGCAGTCAAGCAATATTTTGACGAAATATAATTCTTTATGTACAGAAGGTAGACATTATAACAAAGGAAACGCCGAAAATGAAACCGACTATCTTATAGATAGAGGATGTGTATGCTTTATATATTTTCATCGATGACAGATGAGGCGAAATGTCGCTTTCAAGGTTATTGTACCTGCATTAAGATGTCCTTGTGAGTGAGTGAGTGAGTTTAGCTTTACGCCGCACTCAGCAATATTCCAGCTATATGGCGGCGGTCTGTAAATAATCGAGTCTGGACCAGACAATCCAGTGATCAACAGCATGAGCATCGATCAGCGCAGTTGGGAACTGATGACATGTGTCAGCCAAGTCAGCGAGCCTGACCACCCGATCCCGTTAGTCGCATCTTACAACAAGTATGGGTTACTTGAGATACATATTCTAACCCGGATCTTCACGGGTAGAGTGAGTGAGTTACGATATAGAGTAACATCGGCAATATTAGCAGCCATATCGTGAATACATACATACATACATACATACATACATACATACATACATACATACATACATACATACATACATACATACATACATACATACATACATACATACATACATACATACATACATACATACATACATATGTCTTGTATGCTATTGTCCATCAAAGTATGAACTCCCACCCGTGAATTGATCTTCAGCAACCCATGCTTGTCGTAAGATGCGACTAACAGGATCGGGTGGTCAGTCTCGCTTGACACATGACATCGTATCCCTTGGATCGATGTTCATGATGTTGATCACTGGATTATTTACAGACCGCCGCCATATAGGTGGAATATTGCTGAGTACGCTGGCGTGCAGCAGATGGTATATAGTGGTACCGCTGACCATATTTTGTTCTGTATGGACTCTCCATTAGGTGCCTCGGCGAATATGTTTCCAAAAGAACCCAGTTGTAAATATGGCGATCGGGGTAGGATTGGGTTTTCAAGAAATCAATTTTGTTCCTGAGGGCATTAACGGGATCGAGTCATCAGATTCGCTGACTTGGTTGATGCGCCTTATCATATACGTGAGCGTAGATCGATACTCACATCACTGGTTTGTCTGGTCCAGACTAGACTAATTTCACAACTCCTGCATGGATCTCTGATATTGCTGAGGGCGGCATGAAACACCAAACAGCTTAACAATCCACCATATTACATTTGAGTAGAAATACAATCATGATGCCAATCAAAAACGGTCTGATCCAGACTCCATTATTTACGCTGCGAAAAAATCCAATACATCCATCAAAGTCCAGGATATATGAAACAAAAGTCGGGATGAAGCTTAACGTGTTTTTAGAATGCATAGTCCTCTCTAACCACCAGATGCCAAGCATAGACGTATGTAATCTTCCATGTGAAAATGTCGCAGAATTGGTCAGCGCGACTAATGACAATTCTTTGAACGCAGACATCAGTTCAGATTTTCAATCAGCGCGGATGTCGCTGATGGCGCTAATAAGGACGTTCGTGATGGATCACGTCTTCAATAAGTTATTCAGCGATATATAAAGTTAATGTCAAAAGTGTCTGTTTTGCTGTCTTGACTTAACAGCAATCAGTCATACGCGCGTACGACGTATTGGTTGTTTTTGCTTTTCACATCTGTGTGAAAGATGTTGAATGCTCGCTTGAGCCGCATGCTGTTCAGGTTGTCAGTATGTGTCTCTGAGTAAATTTCGTAGACAGAGAATGGTTATTGCACCTACAAAGCGGCGTCCATGTACGTGTGCTTCTCTCTCTCTCGATCTCTCTCTCTCTCGTCGTCCTCTCATTTCTCTCGCATTGCTATTCGGTCAGTCTCTTACACTCTTTCTCTCTCATATTCAGGTACTCTTATTGCAATCCATATTGCGACATATTGGGAACTTAAGAGTTTGACAGTGAGTAACATTAATTCTCTACATTGAAAGGCCCTAAACATATATGTTACGGTTCTGATAACGCAATCTCAAAATTGGGTTTGCACAGTCAGGGATTCTATTTTTTATATAATGTACAATTTGCTGTTATGCCCTTGAATAACGAAGGAAAACACTTGACTGTGAATATGTGTATGTGTAGATTTTACTTTTAACCATTTAGATAATAAAACAAACTTCATATATGTTCTTCACCCAATATACCGGATCTCAGATTTTTTAATTGTATTATGTATCGTTCGAAAAGCGTATTGCAATATACCGGTATACTGGTATATAGTGGACAGCCAAGAATGTTCCTGTAACCAGTACGTACCTGTATATGAAGAATACGGCGATGAGAACAATGACAAGCAAGGAACCGAGGACGATGATCACAATACCATACTCTGGAAACGGCTCTGTGAAAAAGAAGAACATCGTGTTAAGCAGGTGCAAATTTATACCAATTGAGCATGACGGTCATAGCTGCGTTAAACCATACTCACTCACTCACTCAAATTACGATCCGAATGAGAGACTGTAGTTTTACGCCGCACGTTCTCATGGCGCTATTACAGTGCATATATTTCTTCATACATTTTTATATTTTTCACAAATTATTCATAACAAAGAAAATCCGTATACGTGCAAGTCGCAGTGCATAGTGTATCTTGTTTATAGCCCCGCATGTCGAGCGCAGTAGTAGGCAATTAGCAAAACTCATCCACACCAACCTTAAACTAATTAATCAAAGATGATGCTATTGAGCTGCGTCGGCTGCGGCCTCTTCTTCTCGGTACATCCCTTTGGTCAAGCACAGATAAGTAGTTCCATCCCAGCAGGAGCATGTCTACCACCAACTTAGTCGTAATCGAAAATCAACTTTTGTTGAACAAGATCGAGATTACCATCATGCCATCCCTCTTTGTCCTGTCGTAAAATGCCATGGTCAGATATTTTGTTAAGCAGCTGGCGCAAACTGACTGTGGCTACACCATAAAGAAATTCAAACCTTGTTAGGTAATCATCTTCTTACCACCTACCTCGTGTAGTATACTTTGTCAGCATAGGGTAGATAACGCATATGGAAACTTCAACTTTATAGAAACTTGATAATGACAAATGAGTAGAGCTGTGGGGTATAAAATCCTGGGTTCTTCCATCTCAGGCACACTTGCTTGAATAAACTCAGGAACTCACAGCTCTGCCTCCTTTCTTGTTTCAAGGTAAGAAACATTTAAACTTTATTCTTGTTTATGTTTCACTTGTTATTTCTTTGTAATTATCGTCTAGAATATGTTAGAGTTTGAAACATTCCTACGATATTATAGCACTTTTAAACGATGATCACCAATACCGTACTCTGGAAAGGGCTCTGTGAAAAGGAAGAACATCGTGTTAAGCAGGTGCACATCTATACCAATTGAGCACGACGGTAATAGCCTGTGATGAAACACGAGTAGATGTATACTAGCGAAAAGAAGTTACGGAACATCTTTTTAATGGACTGAAGTTAACCTGTCATTGACAGGGCATATTGTCTATTGTCATATGAAATAAATCATATGTTCTCTCCAGTGTTATACGAGGGGCTTTCATTAAAGATTTCCCTTCTCCCACCTGCAGTGGACTTAGTGTAACGAAACTTGGCACAGGTATTAGTCCTTCTCTACATAGCAACCACCAAGAGTTGATTTTCCCACAGACCCTACACTAATCTTGACATCATGGGCTAACTGGCGAACATTTATATGGCGATCTTCCAGAATAGCAGCCTCCACTTGACGGACAGTGTCTTCATCAATGGCTGAATGAGGTCGACCAGGAATGGAGCAGTTTCCACAGATTTCCCACAACATTTAAACTGGCGATGCCAGTGGTTAACTACGTCATACGATGGGGCATCCTCCCCATAAGTTGTTTTCATTTCATCAAAGGTCTCTTTTGGTGTGCGACCTTTCAAGCTCCAGAACTGTTCGGTACTCAACTGTCTACATTATCACAACTTACTTCAATATAACGCTTGTCAAAGAAATAGCTTTCATAGTTCAATGCTGAAACTTACCACATGACCCATAGACATATGTGTCATTTCTCACTTGAAGTTTCAGACACATGTGAAAACCAGGGGAAATCTTTAATGAACGCCCCTCGTACAAAGCACAGTTGTGTAGAAGTAGGGACCCACGTAAATACTTTGAGTTATCTGAGGTTCGACACAACTGTCATATGGTTAAGAAAGGAATGCACAGTGATCGAACCTTTACTTTGAGACGACTGTACGTTCGACAAGACTAATTCGATCCATCAATGTTCGACACAACGGGGGCGGTGGGGTAGCCTAGTGGTTAAACCGTTGGCTTGTGACGCTGAAGACCCGATTCGATTCCCCACATGGGTACAATGTGTGAAGCCCATTATTGGTTTCCCCCGCCGTGCTGGAATATTGCTAAAGCGGCGTTAAACCATACTCACTCACTCACTCAAATTACGACGCCTTCATATCCGAATGAGAGACTGTAGTTTTACGCCCCACGTTCTCATGGCACCACACACATTGTACGCCATGTTCGGAATCGAACCCAGACCTTTGGAATATCGAGCGAATGCTTTACAAACTCGGTTTCCAACTCATATGTTTCCTCTATGACAGAGAGGTATGTTTAACACGTATAATAAATTGCTAAATATATGACATTTAATAAGAATATGCGTAAAAAAATATATGAATCTTCAGGCAATGCAGTAACACTGAAATACAAACCTGAGCAACATTTCTTTTCTTCAGGCACAATAATTTGTCATTCTTGTTGGCATGGATGCAATCGTTGGCATCATAAACACCTAAATGCTATGCTATTAAAAGGAAGTTTGTAATGCATAAAGTATTACATTGTCTGGTGCATAGTTCTGTCAAATTACTCTTATATTGACCAGACAAATACCGACATCACACTATACAAGCTGTCTTGGCATATACACGGATTCCAGCATAATCATCGACAAACAAAACTATCTGTTTGTATAACTAATGACATGCATCATGTTTAGATATGCCAGGACGAGCTCCATGGTTCACTACACACTCAGCGAATAATGTTTGATTTCTTATCCGTAGTGTCACAAGACAAGGTAAAATCTTCAGAAATTGCGAGGAAGACTCTTCGAGGAGATACGTAAGAAGATAATTGCATGTGAACGAAAAGACGATTTGCACCACTATGATTACCTGCTGCGTCAATGTTGTTAATGTATATATTAAGGACGAGAAACTCACTTCATTTTTTACAATTTTGATCTGTACACTCAGGCAATAATATAATCATTAAAGGTGTCCTCAGAGAGATCTTTAAATCTGGATTTATTTATATTATGTATTTTAATTATTTGTCTTCCCTTGTTGTAAAAGTACAAAAGCTGCACTTACACGCTGTGAAGGATATGCGTGTGATATTATATTGAACAACAAGGATCGAGTGTTTTGTTAAATAGTTGGATTAGGGCATGTGGTGGCTCGCTTTTACACAGAAGACAAAATTGCGTATGTTATGCATAAACATTTGGAATGCACGCAAAAGGAAAAAAATCTAACTGCGTGAAGAGGTATGACTGTGACTGCCCCTAAACTAAGAGGCAAAAGAAGAATATCGATTTTTCAATTTTATGAGATCGATGAGAAGTCTTTCATTAAATATGAATATGTGTATGTGTAGATTTTACTTTTAACCATAAAGATAATAAAAAAAATCATATATGTTCTTCACCCAATATACCGGATCTCAGATTTTTTAATTGTATCACGTATCGTTCGAAAGGCGTATTGCAATATACCGGTATACTGGTATATAGTGGACAGCCAAGAATGTTCCTGTAACCAGTACGTACCTGTATATGAAGAATACGGCAATGAGAACAATGACAAGCAAGGAACCGAGGACGATGATCACAATACCATACTCTGGAAACGGCTCTGTGAAAAAGAAGAACATCGTGTTAAGCAGGTGCAAATTTATACCAATTGAGCATGACGGTCATAGCTGCGTTAAACCATACTCACTCACTCACTCAAATTACGATCCGAATGAGAGACTGTAGTTTTACGCCGCACGTTCTCATGGCGCTATTACAGTGCATATATTTCTTCATACATTTTTATATTTTTCACAAATTATTCATAACAAAGAAAATCCGTATACGTGCAAGTCGCAGTGCATAGTGTATCTTGTTTATAGCCCCGCATGTCGAGCGCAGTAGTAGGCAATTAGCAAACTCATCCACACCAACCTTAAACTAATTAATCAAAGATGATGCTATTGAGCTGCGTCGGCTGCGGCCTTTCTTCTCGGGTACATCCCTTGGTCAAGCACAGATAAGTAGTTCCATCCCAGCAGGAGCATGTCTACCACCAACTTAGTCGTAATCGAAAATCAACTTTTGTTGAACAAGATCGAGATTACCATCATGCCATCCTCTTTGTCCTGTCGTAAATGCCATGGTCAGATATTTTGTTAAGCAGCTGGCGCAAACTGACTGTGGCTACACCATAAAGAAATTCAAACCTTGTTAGGTAATCATCTTCTTACCACCTACCTCGTGTAGTATACTTTGTCAGCATAGGGTAGATAACGCATATGGAAACTTCAACTTTATAGAAACTTGATAATGACAAATGAGTAGAGCTGTGGGGTATAAAATCCTGGGTTCTTCCATCTCAGGCACACTTGCTTGAATAAACTCAGGAACTCACAGCTCTGCCTCCTTTCTTGTTTCAAGGTAAGAAACATTTAAACTTTATTCTTGTTTATGTTTCACTTGTTATTTCTTTGTAATTATCGTCTAGAATATGTTAGAGTTTGAAACATTCCTACGATATTATAGCACTTTTTAAATACCTATCATTGTAAATGCTACTTCTAGATAACCGATAATTCTTAGGCACTATCCAGGGATATTTATTTATGCACATTGCGTCGTGGGCTCCTCAAGTTTTATGTTTTTCATGTACAAACGAATATTTCTTTTCTATGTTTCGACACACATGTGTGTATTCCCAGTCCTTGTCTAGTTTCATTCATGTTTGCGTGTTAGATCTGTATATGCAGGTTAGATTCCCGTTCAGTAGCTTAGATTCTAGTAGCTTAGTCACAAAAACAGTTTCGCGAGTTTATACAATCATTTCCAGCAAAGATGAATTTATATGTAGGTCAGTAACTCTGTATTTTACAATAGTCCGCCGATCAAATAATATACGCGCTCACAGTATAGGTTACAACAGCCAACATTGTATTTTGATATTTCACTTACATAAGTATTTGAATAATGATGAATTAAACGTTCCGTTCCGCACAGCAGTTAATGAACTATAGGCACTACATGCTGTAATTAAACTGTTGGGCGCTCCACTCAGTACTTGTTCTTTGCAATTATTGTTGATGATTAATTTATCCGTCAGGTTATGTTATTTATCAGTACCGTAGTTACTCAAGGATAGGTTGTGTTGTTTGTATTATGTTTCTGTAAACAGTTACCGTACATACCCTGTTGTACCACACATTGCTTATATTACCTGACTTAGATATAAACTGTATTAGGATATCATTGATTACTATTTCTATTATTGTATGTCATTATTATGTATGAATTGATGTATATTGAATGTCATGCAAGGACACTTGCTTGAATAAACCCTGGATCTCACAGCTCTGCCTCCTTTCTTGTTTCAAGGTTTCAAGGCTCGCTCCCTATAGCTAATTTCCCAAATCGAGGCCTGACAGCACCTTTAGCACACCTAGCGCTAAAGGTCGTCCTAACGGACACAAAAGAAAAGCTGTCTTAGCGCCACACACATTGTACGCCATGTTCGGGATCGAACCCAGACCTTTGGAATATCGTGTGAATGCTTTACAAACTCGGCTTCCAACTCAAATGTATCCTCTATTACAGAGAGGTATGTTTAACACGTATACTAAATTGATAAATGTGTGACATTTAATACGAAATATGCGTAAAAAAATATATGAATCTTCAGGCAATGCAGTAACACTGAAATACAAAGCTGAGCAACATCGATTTTTCTTCAGGCACAATAATTTGTCATTCTTGTTGGCATGGATGCAATCGTTGGCATCATAAACACCTAAATGCTATGCTATTAAGGAAGTTTGTAATGCATAAAGTATTACATTGTCTGGTGCATAGTTCTGTCCAAATTACTCTTTATATTGACCAGACAAATACCGACATCACAGTGCAAGCTGTCTTGGCATATACACGGCTTCAGCATAATCATCGACAAACAAAACTATCTGTTTGTATAACTAATGACATGCATCATGTTTAGATATGCCAGGACGAGCTCCATGGTTCGCACACTCAGCGAATGTTTGATTACGATCATATCCGTAGTGTCACAAAGACAAGGTAAAATCTTCAGAAATTGCGAGGGAAGACTCTTCGAGGAGATACGTAAGAAGATAATTGCATGTGGACGAAAGACGATTTTCACCACTATGAGAATGATTACCTGCCGCGTCAATTTTGTTAATGTATATATTAAGGACGAGAAACTCACTTCACTTTTTTACAATTTTGATCTGTACACTCAGGCAATAATATAATCATTAAAGATGTCCTCGAAAGATCTTTAAATCTGGATTTATTTATATTATGTATTTTAATTGTTGTCTTCCCTTGTTGTAAAAGTACAAAAAGCTGCACTTACACGCTGTGAAGGATATGCGTGTGATATTATGTTGAACAACCAGGATCGAGTGTTTTGTTAAATAGTTGGATTAGGGCATGTGGTGGCTCGCTTTTACTGAAGCCAAAATTGCGTATTTATGCATAAACATTTGGAATGCACGCAAAAAAACCAAAAAATAACTGCGTGAAAAGTATGACTGTGACTGCCCCTAAACTAACAGGCAAAAGAAAGAATACCGAGTTTGCAATTTTATGAGATCGATAGAAGTCTTTGTTAAATATGAATATGACTACTTAGCCGTCACTTTATATACTACTCACACTTTGCTAAGGATCACAAAAATTCCCAACTTTACTTAGACACAGATCTATAATTTGAAATTGTATTTAAAACTGGATAAAAAATAATATGGTAACCCGTCTTTAGGCAAACAGCCACTTTAGTCTACCCTTATGCACTTGATACATGAGTAACCATAAAAATGGTTTTCATGGCACCAATCATGGAACGAGTCATTGACAAGTACACAACACCTGTCAATAGGACAAGGTGCAGTGACATATTGAAACCTAGGATCCATGCTTACAATAAGCTTAGATTTTTTAACCAAATTCGACCCCACATCATAGTTTTCTGTTCAGTCAAAGATCTGATCCTTAGCAAAGTGTGAATAGTATAGTATGTTGAAAGTAATCCGTAGCTGGGTAATCCTGTGTAAAAATTAATTTAGTTTAATGAAGACTTGGGTGAGCAATACGTTGCAACCACATGACCACTGGTATGTTTTAATTGTTGCAATATGTTTAATATTGACCAAATTTATTGATTTCAATCATAAGATGTCCATGCTATCCATCGGCATATGAAAATTATTATCAGTAATTTAAGATATGTTCATCTGAACAGCAAATATATAACAAACAAACAGAAATAGTTCCTTAGATTATTTCGGAATATTCATGCTGTTTGATGTTTTCCCGTCATGCATTGAAGTACCAATCAAATGTGTTAAGGGATCTGAGTGAGTGAGTGAGTCTACTTTGACGCCTCACTCAGCAATATTCCAGCTCTTTAGCGGCGGTCTGAAAATAATCGAGTCTGGACCTGACAATCCAGTGATCGACAGCATGAGCATCCACTTGCACAATTGGGAACCGATGACATGTGTCAACCAAGTCAGCGAGCCTGACCACCGATCCCGTTAGTCGCCTCTTACGACAAGCATGGGTTACTGAAGATCAATATTCTAATCCGGATCTTCACGGGTAGTTAAGGTGTCTGACAACATGCAATGTGGCATTAGTAAACCTATTACCAATCAGTTAAGCTTGCGGGTTTAGGGCCCCATTGTAAAAATGAATGAATGAATGAGACACATATAAAAAGAAGAAGATAATATTATGCACTATGACATCATTCAACATTTTTTAAATCGGAAAAGGCGTGCCACAATTTGCCAGTGTATTGCCCCCAAAATGATATATATTGTCGAATGTATGAACGATCGAACGAATGAAGTTAAAAAGCAGATGAACATACAACAAACGTACAAATGCAAATATGTACAAAACAATGAAATGTTGCTGAGGGCAAATCATCGTTATAGAACGTATGAACTTTATGTAGGGATGTAATGTCATCCATAAGCAAACGTGATGGCCCTTGAGCAAATATGTTTAATACACCTTCAGTAGTATCACCATGTAGAAATGGCAGATTGACCGCCAATATCAGAATAAGGTATCTTTTTAACGCGCAGCCCGGTAATGGATGCCTCATGTACCGACTAGTGCGATTACAATTTTAAAAGCAGTCTGAAATTATTGATGGTGGTATAAAACTCTCTGATCATGATACTGAAGGTATGACTATGAAACATGTATGGACAGTCCTAATCAAAACTTCCATCGTCGCCAATCTAAACTGCGTTAATGAGCGTTTGGTCTTGCCAGGCGTTGTCTCTCAAATTGCCATTTGACACTGTTGCTCTTGAAATCTCCATGTGGCCCATTGGGGTTGCTGGCATAGAAAAAGTCTCCAGAAATCTACGCTGGTCGTAAGTTGGACCAAATGGATCGGTTCTACTAATACCTCGATATACCGTTTTTACCCCTAATAAATTAATTGTGACATCGTTGTGAAATGTTATACAGCAGGTGGTGTCACTGATATACCTGCCCACGTATGAAGTTGAACTAACGTGTTTACACTTTATTACTATTTATGATGCTGATGGGGAAACGATCTGTACATTTTATCGATCACATATCAATTTTGGAATAATGTGCACAGATTCTCGAGGAAACGAGTATAATTACAAGACAGATTTCACCATGTGCTTACTTCGTTCTCTGAAAATTATTTACCCACACAATAGCAATCGATAAAGGAGATAACAAAGACATCACGACCGCTTGCTCAAGAACAATCCCCAATGTAGTTTTAAAAGGAGCATCTGGATGATATTTGAAACTGTTTACCTAGAACCGCACGTCGATTGGCCCAATATTAACTGCAGGTGTTTGGATTTGGGCGGAGAAGTTGGAATGTATTGAGTAAAAACAGAATATTCTCATTTACGTTCTTAACACACGCCTTAACCTTTAAAGGGTGACACTAACTATTTCCTATAATTTTTCCGGTGGGTAAAGGTTAAGGAAATTATTTTATCATTTGATTTTCAAAAGATATCCCAACATTGTCAGTCAACATATGTACACGTGTAGATGAAAAGTAGCTGAAGTTGAAGATTGAAAGACACTGTTAAACTCTTTTCATACAACAGTGATAAGAACTCAGGGTTATGCGAGATTGACTATAACTTAGCACATGTGCATGTAATTCCGGGACCAACCTTCAGGGGGACACTTGGAGCCATCGTATCCACATCTGGGCGTGTCAGGGGGTGCGGACCTTCTCCCCCCTGCCCAGTGGATCTGTGTCTCTGGTACGGGGATGTATCGCTTCCTGCTTCCATAGTAGTTGGCAACCACCTGGTGGCGGAATGAAAAAAACAAAGTTACGAGATGACTAATAGCGCAGACAAGAAATAACTGACATAGTGACAACTTTGTAACATCATAGTTACAACCTTATTACAACATAGTTACAACAAAGTATTAGCAGAGTAATAGCATAGTTACGACACAGTTACGACATAGTTACAACATAGTGACAACTTTGTAACATCATAGTTACAACCTTATTACAACATAGTTACAACAAAGTATTAGCAGAGTAATAGCATAGTTACGACACAGTTACGACATAGTTACAACATTGTGACAACTTTGTAACATCGTAGTTACGACCTTATTACAACATAGTTACAACAAAGTATTAGCAGAGTAATAGCATAGTTACGACACAGTTACGACATAGTTACAACATAGTGACAACTTTGTAACATCATAGTTACAGCCTTGTTACAACATTGTTACAACAAAGTGAGGATAGTATCAGCACAGTCGCAGCATAGTTGCAAAATAGTTACAACATTGTTACAACTGTGTAATGGCAGAGTAATAGCAGAGTTATGACATACTTGTAGTTACAACACAGTTACAACACAGTGAACATATCGGTGTATAGTTACAACCAATCTGCAACAAAGTTTTACAACAAAGATGCAATAGGGTAGCATATACTGCATAGTTACAAACACGTTAAAACAATGTTGCACACACAGTATAGTTGCAACACATTTACAACACAACTACAACATTGTTACAACAATATGCAATAACGTAGCTATATCTTGCTTATATCACAGTTTCAGCGTTCAAGTTTCACCACATTTACGCCATAGTTACAGCATAATTACAACATAATGTATGACAAAGTTACAACATAGTTACGACTGTTATTGTTGCAGTTATTCATCATTACGTCATACGACCAGCAACAATGGCTTGAGATATGTATTGTGATCAGGAATACCCTGAGGTTTCAAACATCGATTCACCCAGGTATCCCCAGCGGTTTCAAACAACATCGACTCACCCATTCCAGTCAATATTGCCATGAGACCCATTTTCGCGGTAGCTGTAGTTTCTCAATAATGGATCTATATTTTAGATAGAATCATCCGTCGAATAAATATTACTTTCGAGATGCAGGGGGACTTATGAAGTGGAAGAAAGTGAAATTTCCGAAGTGACTATTCTGCAATTGGGAATATAATTTGGACTCTTTCAGTTTCGAGTGAACAAGTCCACTGAAACGCTCAAGTCCACTGAAATTGCCATGAGATTTGGAACCTCTGGAGTTGGTCATATTGTGAATAAGTAGGTGTGGTTTAAGTTAGAATTTATCAATATTCTAACTTTATAAGAGGGGGTACCAGAAAGCGTCTTTACACATTGTAATTATGAAGGGATTCGAATGACGATGTAATGTTTAACCTCGCTAGACTTTCCATCTACAAAACGGATTGATTTTTATTCCACTTTAAAAAATGTTTTCATTAATTCACGGCCAATCCAAAAGAAAGCTTAATATAAATCTAATAATAATTACGACAGTGTTGCTGGATGACCAACGGGTTATGAACTTGACCTCGTGGTATCGTTTCATGAAACTTTAGATCATGCAAATGTAAGGTCAAGCATGTGATGCAAACAATGACTTCTCCAGAAGCAGCTAGGCATGAGTTATAACCATTCACCTGATGAAGGTGAAAGGATAAACTCCGAAACGTTGTGTTCCTCCTAATAAAGAAGCTAACATAAAACACTCTTCATTACCAGTTATATGCCTTTTGCAAAATCAGAAGATCGAAAGAAAATTATTGTGCCTTCAATTTAGAAGTATATGGAAATATTCAATTTCACCCACACAGAAACAAGATGCAATCCAGAATTATGCTTTTCGATTTTTGCAAATGGGCAGAAAGATCTCAGCACGAAAGGCAACAAGAAATATTATCGATGATCAAGCAGGATTTTTCAACTCTTAAATTGTATGGTTCTCACATGTTCCTTTTCGTTGGAAACACTGCGGTAAACTCTGTCAGTCTTAATCAAAGATCCATACCACGCAATCATTTCGATAGGCAGACAAAGTCTAAAGTTCCAAGCGTCGTTTCGACACATGCCAGTTCTGATTAGAATCAGTCTGTCATGTGAAGGTAGAAAGAAACTTTGATTAATGTTTTGTTTGACACTTTAATTAGCCTGTTATGACTCTGTCACACAACTAGCAAAACATTAGATTAATATTAACACAAAAACCTTTTTTAGAAAAGAATCGTTTCGAAAAATTCTGACATAAATCATTTTCATATTTATGTTATGTTTTATAGATGAAATAAGAAACATGACTTTTCATTAATTACGTCCAAATGAAATAATGGTGTAACAGCATCCCCTGACATATACAAATATAATCAAAGGCTTCTCCTAAAAGGCCCCTTAAAATGGCAAATGATACTAAGCAGTTACCGTATAATTTTACAGCTTGCGTCATATGTGTACAGTATGTGGTGGTATGTGGTGCTGTGCATAGAGCTCAGGTCACAAATCAGTTGAAGTTAAGCGACGTTGGGCGCGGGGTGCTCTTGGATTGGTGACCGTGTTTGGCAACTTGACTCCTGAGAGTTTCTAGTACTTCAGTCCCGCCCCTCAACGAAGCACATGTGATACACGTGGTCTCACCTGGGGCAAGTTGGTTTGCTCAAAATTGCCTCTGTTCACCCAGCAGAAAATGGGTACCCGATGGGATATCTGATGTGACTATAACCTTCTAGCGCCCAACAGGCAACTTGGGTTATCCGGGGTAATAATGTGTTAGCTTCGAGCATACACAAGAGTGTGGAAACAGGCAGCTTTATAAATGTCCATTATTATTATTTATTTGGGTGATGGTAAACAATTTGTTTTGAAAGGTTTAGCTAAACATCCCTTCAAAATCTTGGCTGGAGGACGAGAATTATTTCTTGTTGTGAGACAGATCACATTTACTGTGAGTATTGGCTCTTGGACTAACTTTTTCAAACTTTCGAACACAATTCTCCAGACGTGTAAATTGCTATGTAAATAATAGTTTCATATGTAGTCCAAACTTTGATATCTTCATCTTGTGTTTAGATCAATAATTATAAACTTTGAAAAAAGTTTATAATTATTGATCTCAACGCAAGATTGTCTTGGAATGAGAGAGGAAACTAAACTTCAATTCCACAATCTAGGATTAACATAGATAAATCATACTTTAAACTTATGATATATTGTTCAGTTACTAGTTAGAAGGTAAATATCGCTTAAAATGTGGGTTAAGGTATGCAAAACCTTTATTCAAACCTATGTCTTGGCATGAGAGAGGAAACTAAACTTCAATTCCACAATCTAGGATTAACATAGATAAATCATACTTTAAACTTATGATATTTTGTTCAGTTAATAGTTAGAAGGTAAAGATCGCTTCAAATGTGGGTTAAGGTATGCAAAACCTTTATTCAAACCTATGTCTTGGCATGAGAGAGGAAACTAAACTTCAATTAAACAATCTAGGATTAACATAGATAAATCATACTTTAAACTTATGATATATTGTTCAGTTACTAGTTAGAAGGTAAATATCGCTTAAAATGTGGGTTAAGGTATGCAAAACCTTTATTCAAACCTATGTTTTGGCATGAGAGAGGAAACTAAACTTCAACTCCACAATCTAGGATTAACATAGACAAATCATACTTTAAACTTATGATATTTTGTTCAGTTACTAGTTAGAAGGTAAAGATCGCTTCAAATGTAGGTCAAGATATGCAAAACCTTTATTCAAACCCATGTTTTATGCTAAAGCTAGTTAAACCCCATGATCGATTCCGCCACTGTCCTGTTCTGTGGTTGAGATTAGACGCTAGTAAATGTCTCGAAAATCGTTTTCCTTGGATTGAGCTTGACAAACCTTCCATCAGACTTCTTCTCATAGAGAGGGAGCTACAAATCGACTGTACACATTGCACCGATGAATTGATTCGAACCAGGGCTTCATCGTGACGATGTAATATTTTAACCACACCACACCTTCCATCAATGACGTTAGTTTGGTTTCTTCCGCATTGAAAACTGGTTTCGTAATCTTACGACCCATCCAAAATGAAGATGAAAATAAATCTTCACCTATAATGACTACGGCCGTGTTGCTTCATAACCAATCGTTTCATGAAACCGACCTCGTAGTATCGTTTCAAGAACCATAAGATAGGGTAAATGTAAGGTGAAGAAAGAGATACAAGAATGACGCATCCAGAATCAGCTTGATATCAGTTGTAGGCTTTCTACAAAATCAGACGATCGAAATATATTATTGGGCACATCTATTGGGAAGAATATGAAAATATTCTATTTCACCCACGCTGAACAAGATCCAATCCCGAATGATGTTTTTGGATTTTTGCAATGCAGAAGAAACTCAGTACGAAAGGCAACAAGAAATATCATCGCTGATCAAGCAGGATTTTTCAAATCTTAAATTGTATGGTTCTCGTATGTTACTTCTCTGTGGAGATATTGCCGTAAACTCTGTCAGCCTTAACCAAATATCCATACAACGCAATCATTTCAATAGGTGGACTAGGTCTAAAGTTCCAAGGGTTGCCACACATGTCAGTTATGATTAAAATCAGTTTGTCATGTGAAGGTAGAAAGGAACTTGGATTACTCTTTCTAACGGTTTTTACACGGTTAGCAAAACATTAGATCAATAATAACACCAAAGCACCCTTTGTTTTAAGAAACAGAGTCGTTTCTGAAACATTCTGACATGAACCATTTTCATATTTTTGTTTTGTCTTATAGATGAAATGAGAAAGATGACATTTCATTAATACCTGCAAATGAAATAATGGTATAATAGCATCCTCTGACATTAACAGTTGTAATCAAAGGATGCTCTTAGAAGGTTCCTCGAAATGGCAAATGATACCAAGCAGTTAACGTTTAGTATTACATCTTGCGTCATTAGTGTTTGAGATGATGTTAAACGATATTTTAACTTACTGCAAACGTCTGTGGCCTGACGACAAGATCCATTTCTTGTTGTGAGACAGATCAAATTTACTGTGATTATTGGTTCTTGGAGTAACTTTTTTAAAAACTTTCAAAACATGCCTCAGACGTGTTATGCTATGTAAAAAATAATTTAAATGTATTTCAAACCTATGTTCTTGGAATAAGATAAATAAATCTTATTTCGAGGCCTTGGTGTTGCATTGAGATCAATAAATGCGTAACTTACTTCGATCACATTGTCTTGGGTTTATATAGATAAGCCGTTTTTGAATGTATGTTCCTTCATTCAGACACCAGTTGGGAGGTAACTTTAAATTAAATTTGGGTTGAGATATGCAAACCCTTCATTGAAGCCCATGTTCTTGGGCTTGAATAAATCTTACTTATTCCAATAGGTGTATTGGCATCCTACTACGGCTGAGAAGGACACACCTTACTTCAAACCCATAATTATTTGAGAGTTAGAGTCAGTTCAACCTCACTTCCACCCTTGTGGGTAGTCTAACGCTGTTGGACTGAGCTAGTTAAATCTCACTTCAAATATCTTCAAATACCACTTTCTTCAAACCTATATTCAAGGGTTAGAGCTCATTCTGCATCACTTCCTCTGGTCTTCTTTAGCGGAGAGGGATAGTAATACACCTAGCTTCGAACCCATGTTATGAGGCTGAGCTTATCAACCGTCACTTCCACCTCTGATCTCTACACCATTCGTTCTACTTATGTTCTTGGGTTGAGTTTCCGCCCGTGTTCTTAATTCTTAGTGAGGTGACTTCTTCAAGCCCATGTTTGTGGATTGAGCTGTTTACACATGTGCTATTTGGTTGGGCTAGATACAACTTTTCTGACACCCTTGTATGTCTCGTTAATCCTGTCCTCCACTCCATGTCTTGCGGTTGAGATACACGATATATGCTTTTAACCAGACCCATGTTTTAATGTGTGTAAAATAGCCTCACCTAAACAGGATTTCTCTGCTTGCGATAGATACAGTACACTTTTTTTCCAACCCATGTTCTTGGTTTTTGCAAGTTAAAGTTTCAGTATCTCTTTGGTCGAAATGGACAGTGGTTCCCATGGCAAAACAGATGTTTTAACATCAGTATTGACTGATACACCTATTGGCATAAAATGCAATCCTTAGATGGAGTAAATTGAAACTTGTGCATTCTATAGACCTTACTTCAAACGTGTTGGTTCCCTGGATGATATACTTAAAAGTTACTTTAAATATATTAGTTCCATGGATGATATACACAGAAGTTTCTTAAAATGTATTAGTTCCCTGGATGATATACACAGAAGTTGCTTTAAATGTATTATTTCTACGGATGGTATACACAGAGTTACTTTAAATGTATTAGTTCCTTGGATGATATACACAGAAGTTTCTTAAAATGTATTAGTTCTATGAATGATATACATAGAAGTTACTTTAAACGTAATAGTTCCAAGGGTGATATACATAGAAGTTACTTAAAATGTATTAGTTCCATGGGTGATATACATAAAAGTTACTTTTAATGTATTAGTTCTATGGATGATATACATGGAAGTTACTTTAAATGTATTAGTCCCATGGGTGATATACATAAAAGTTACTTTAAATGTATTAGTTCCATGGGTGATATACATAAAAATTACTTTTAATGTATTAGTTCCATGGATGATATACATGGAAGTTACTTTAAATGTATTAGTTCAATCGGTGATATACATAGAAGTTACTTTAAATGTATTAGTTCCATGGATGATATACACAAAAGTTACTTTAAATATATTAGTTCCATCGGTGATATACATAGAAGTTACTTTAAATGTATTAGTTCCATCGGTGATATACATAGAAGTTACTTTAAATGTATTAGTTCCTTGGATGATATACACAGAAGTTTCTTAAAATGTATTAGTTCTATGAATGATATACATAGAAGTTACTTTAAACGTAATAGTTCCAAGGGTGATATACATAGAAGTTACTTAAAATGTATTAGTTCCATGGGTGATATACATAAAAGTTACTTTTAATGTATTAGTTCTATGGATGATATACATGGAAGTTACTTTAAATGTATTAGTCCCATGGGTGATATACATAAAAGTTACTTTAAATGTATTAGTTCCATGGGTGATATACATAAAAGTTACTTTTAATGTATTAGTTCCATGGATGATATACATAGAAGTTACTTTAAATGTATTAGTTCCATGGGTGATATACATAGAAGTTACTTTAAATGTATTAGTTCTATGGATGATATACATAGAAGTTACTTTAAATGTATTAGTTCCCTGGATGATATACACAAAAGTTACTTTAAATGTATTAGTTCTATGGATGATGTACATAGAAGTTACTTTAAATGTATTAGTTCCCTGGATGATATACACAAAAGTTACTTTAAATGTATTAGTTCCATGGATGATATACATAGAAGTTACTTTAAATGTATTAGTTCAATGGATGATATACATGAAAAAACTTCAACCATGTTGGTTCCCTGGATGATGTACACAAAAGTTGCTTCAAATGTATTAGTTCCATGTATAATGAACATAGAATATACTTTACATGTATTAGTTCCATGTATGATTAACATATAATATACTTTAAATGTATTAGTTCCATGGATGATATACATAAAAGTTACTTCAACCATGTTGGTTCCATGGATGATGTACACGAAACGTAATTCAAATCAATTTAGTTTCATGAGTGATATTCATATGACCTACTTCAAACTTGTTGGTTTTGGGGTTCAGGTCCAACAACGAGTAGTCTGCGTTTCTATCCCCATTGGCATCGATGCTCACTGTTCCAGTGATACCTGAAATGGGATATTAAAATGTATGTGAATATTTTACCTGCACAGGTGACTTTCACGATATTGTAATAAATGATGAGCTTGTGAGACAAAACCGCCTCCACAATCATATAAGAAATGTGTACTAAAACAGAGTCGATTCTAGCAAGGATGTTTATGAATCCCTATCGAATAGTGACACAATATGATCGCGAAAAAGGTGACAGTCCCTAACCAATGACATCATACATAAATGCAAATCACAGTCAGCTGACTTATTGGAATTTGATCATTTTAATCAGATATTGAAATGGCCTCCATGTGTCTACCATCAAACGTTCTGAAATATCTACTGAAATCTTGATGAGTGAGTATGGTTTCCTTTTGACGAAGAACATATGAATATTTTCGCGTATGGTGATGTTTGTATAAATGAATCAGTAAAACCGCTTCTGCTTGATATTGATGCATGGTAACTTTAAAATAATGTGTTCTATTATGTAAACGGATGTACGGTACTAGAAATTATATGCAACGTCTGATATTGTAGGAAACCATACTACAGCAACTCGTTACGCATCATGTCAATGTGGCCATAGATGTGAGAATGTTTTTCATTACTTCATTGAATGTCCATTGTATACTATTCAAAGACATAAAAAAACAGTTAAAATCTTTGGAACATATTTTCAAAAATAGAACACTGATTGATATTAATCTTATCTTACATGGCAATGCAGGTCTCTCAATCACTGAAAACCAGAATGTTTTCAAATATGTACATGTCTATATCTCTTAAAATAAACGCTTTCTCAGTAAACATCTGTTGTACATACCCTAGCCTATGTCTGTCACTTGTGTACTTTGTTGTAAGATAAATTGTGTAATTATCCGGAGATGGCTTTTCTAAGTTGGATAACTTGTGCCCAATCCTTTTCTTGAATGAATAAAATATGTTTAAAACAAAACAGCAACTCGTTACAGTCGCTTTACCGACAGAACAACGAAAGAGTAAATATCATAACTGAAACAATAACGTCAACGTTGGAAGCTTAAACATTTACATTAAAATATCTAAAAGGAAATACAGGTGTCATAGGTTATTATAGAGGAGAATCATGTATGTTGTTTACGTATACTTAGAGCAGATGGATCTATAACCACAAAAGCAAATGGATTCAGAAAACACCATTGAGTCTATTGCCCGAGAAATCTCCTCTGTAAGTTCCTGCTTGATGGAAGAAGCATGGGCCTGACTTTTCGAAACAAATTTAAGCTTCTACTCAAATTTCAAACTGAGTTTGAGAATTTGAAACAGCTGAATTTTTAACCCAACTGCATTTTTAAAATAAAAAATCCAAACAACTTAAGTAATCTATCCGCCAAACTCAAATTGTCTACTATGATTTCACTTCATTCTGGGAAATGCAGTTTCCTGCGAGGTTTTTTTTCAAATTTGAGTAAAAACTCAAACTTAAGTGGAAACTTAGACTTGAATTTGTTTCGAGACATCGGGGCCTGACCATTTAAATTTATCACATTGTTAATATACGTGCGTGACATCGTGTCAACAATTTTATAAGCTGCCAATGCTATGAGGGAGTGAGTGAGTTTAGTTTTACGCCACTTTTAGCAATAGTCCAGTAACATCACGGCGGGGGACACCAGAAATGGGCTTCACACATTGTACCCATGTGGGGAATCGAACCCAGGTCTTCGGCGTGACGAGCGCACGCTTTAACCACTAGGCTACCCCACCGCCCCTCCCATGCTGTGACCCTTGTCTGTACATAAAGATAGTTAGTGTCATATAAAGATGAGACTCTTGGGAGAGGATTATCGTCGCTTAGGAGAGGATTATCGTCGTCATCATACATCTAGTGGCTCCTTCCGGACTGTTTTGTTGGACTAGTCCTGTTGCAGAAGTTCCAAATGAGGAACATTTGAAATTTGAGCGGAGGAAAGTTTTACAGATGACAATCGTACCGAGCCAAGTGAGCAACCGATCCATGTGTTTACGAAATGCGAGTTTTGAAGCCTTTTTGTGCAACAAGTTCATGATGCGGGGCAGGGGCAGTTGTGGAAATCTGAGAGAACCAAAGTTTTGTTGATAGTAATCCTACCCTGCCAAGTGGGTAACATATCAATGCGTTAACGAAGTGAGAGTAGTTTTGCAGTCTTGTTTTTGCGGTTGACATTTCGATCGTTGCAGCATGCAGTAACTATCTGCACCAGACACGATAACGCCAGTGTGACGATCTACTGTTGTATCGCCAACTGTAAAACTGCTTATTGCAGATTTATTTTCTATCCCTTTGATTAATGGCTTGAAACCTTCTCGCGTTAGAGGAGCGGTTTAGCTGGATCGTTTGTAGTTGCTAAAAATGTACCCACGTGTTGTCTAATCATGCGCGAGAGGTTTTTGTGACGCAGCCATGTCACAAACGTGTGGTCTTTGTTCGCAGGAACAGGAAAAACGCAACATAGAAAATATATTCTGGTGAGACCAAAACCCGGAAGTGAATTCGCCACCTCACTTTATTCAGCATAACACACCACGGAAAATTCCTCCAAATCTGATCCTATAAATGGTTTGTCTATGTCTTTTTAAAAGAAAACTATATATTTTATACGTTTAAGAAAACAAAAAGCGTTTTTTTTCGGACCACCAACATCAAAGGAGCTAAAAAGCAAGAGCATCCTCTCGCCTTTACTTGAAAGAGACAAATCTGTTTTCATGAGAGAAAATAATTTTGAAGTGCAAATCGTGTGTCCCTGTTGTGCTTTTGTTCAGCTTAGGAGCTTCTATTCCCAAGCCAATCTAGACACATTACAGAAAGTTACACATTCGTTCACGTGAATTTCTAATCTGTCTCCCGCAAAAAGAATTATCTGAAAAGAAACTCTATATAAATGCAAATAGTTTCAAAAACATTAGGCTTTCGACGGATAATCAATTGCAGATCTTTTCGTAATAAAAGCATTTTCCTGTGTCGCCTTTTTGATATTCCCAAGGTGACAGGACTTGTACAGACATTCGAAACTTCATTTACAAACTTCATTTAAGATCCATTTAAAATTCCTGTTTCGATCGATAGGGGATATGGTGAATCTGGAACAAAATCCCATCGAGTGAATGCTTAACGCCATTTGGATAAAGAACCATAAGCCCACTCCTCGTATTACGATCCACTCCAAATAAATCAAGGAATCGTTAAGGGCTACACGGAAAGCATGATCAGCCCCTATCGGGCATAATTTAATGGTAAAGGGGTTTTACCTTCAAAAGTCCTGTTCCACATCCGCTTGGTGATCGCAGTACCGTCGGATACAGATCCATTAGCTTGGAGGGTCTCATTCAGCGCCAACGCATAGAGGATAACCGCATCGTGGAAGGCCCCTACAAAGCTGTTAACCTATAAGTGGAAAGAACTCGTGCTAGAAGAAAATCTGGAGAGAATAAAGAGTGAATACATGACATCTTGAAAGAACGCCTGTTACTAAACAGTTATTCCCGTTGGCCTCGCCTTTTATCTATCTTGAAGAAGTGTGATGGAGAGTCTCTGTGAGGCGGTGGTTTTTTTCGGATGCCTTTTTCGAATTTGAATGACAACCGTGCCATGTGCATCAGCCTTATGTTTTTGTTTACAGTTCCGGTTGCTTTTTCTTTTGTTCTTTGTGTTTTTACATGACGCGTGTTAAAGATGTTGTCGCCAAGGGTCTGGGCAAATACGCTCAAAGAACTAAACACTTCTGACAAGTATTCGAACCAATTAGTAGAAATTTGGTTCAGATTGGACAACCTAACGAGCAAAAATGCCGACTGTTAGGACGGCTGCATTAGTTCTTGTAATGATAACAACACCTCTCATGAATTGTTTTTATTCAGTATTTTTAGTCAACAGTGACAGCAACATCAAATGACATCGTGTATTCATCGTGGTTGAATGTGGTTTGAAACAGTGAATATGATTTAAATCTAAACCTCAATTAGTGTACATGTTGGACGAAACAAATCGTGAAGTATTTACGAATTAAACACCGGGGGAATCCACGAAGGGCGGATTCTGTTAAATTATCTTACATGATGAAATTTTGTTTGGGAAAAGATGATACTGGAACCATATATTTCACTGATTATATCACGAGGGGCGGTGGGGTAGCCCAATGGTACACCTCCACGTAAGAATCATGCAAAATCGAGAAGATTGGATAAGCCGAAAATCGCGAATTTGGTTGAAAATTTCAGAATTTGATCACATCACCAAGTTAAACATCGCTATGAATTTTTCTAAAATATGTGCTCTAGTTTTCATGATAAGCCCAAATTTCCCCGAGATTAATGGGAGGTAGACGAGCAACGATCAAGGTGGAATGCTACTTAAAGCATTCGATCGTCACGAGGAAGAACTGGGTTCGATTCCTCACATGGGTACAATGTGTGAAGTCCATTTCTGGTGTCCCCCGCCGTGATATTGCTGGAATATTGCTAATAGCGGCATAAAACTAAACTCACTCACTCACTTTATCAAGACTGTAGTCACAATGAGGACAGAGGATACGATTTGGTCACCAATATCCCACGCCTATTGAAAGATCTGACTAAAGATGAAAGATTCGGCGACCTGGTTGATATCGTACACCGAGATATAGAATAGAATAGAAGAATAGAATAATACTTTAATGCCTTTTCAGGAATTTGTGTTACATCAGCAGAGCTACTGACACATTAGAGAGATACCAAATATATTTACATAAATTCTTTGATTTAGGTATCTTCACATTGATTTAATATAGAAGATATAGGGAGTAGGTAGTTTTAGTCACTGGTTTGTCAGGCCGAATTATTCAAAGGCTGGTATTAAGATTTATGCTAGTGATCTCTAAATATTCGAGTCTGGAATATACGATGCAGTTATTGATATCATGTACATCGATCAACATAAATACGATACAATAGCATGCATCAACCAAGTCTGCGAGCCTGAAAACCCGATCACGTCGCCCCTTAATTAGCGACAAACATGGGTTACTGAAGACCAATTCTTAGCCGGATCTTCACGGGATTCAGTCATTCGTAGGAAGGGGAGATTTAGTATTAAAACATGTGAGGTGATATGGGAATAAACGTTCCTTACAAGATTATTGTACTGATAGAGCCACGTACGTGCATGGGCGTAAAGTGAGTGAACTTTGTTTTACACCCCTTTTAGCAATATCAGCAATATCACGGCGGGGGACACCAGAAATGGGTTTCACACATTGTACCCAAGTGAGGAATCGAGCCCGGGTCTTCGGCGTGACGAGCGAACGCTTTAACCACTAGACTACCCTATAACCTACGGCCCCACATGCGCGTAAAGGCGTACGTTGGTACATACGTGTGAGTGAGTGTGTGTGCGTTCCTGTAATTTTAACCTGGATCTTCACGGGTTGATGACGTGAAACTGTTAGATTATTGCTGATTGACATGTGAAACAATGCTCACTCGTTCACTTGGAAACGAAATTCATTAAACTATTCAAAGAGACCACTATACTTAGTTTGTTTTTACCGTAGTTCGTAAGACGTATTCAGAAGAAAGTAAATATAAGTTTCTGGGACCGAAAAAAATAGTTCGTTATATCCAGTTCGTTAAATGCGCTGCCATATTGCTTACTCCCAAAAGACAGACCTCCCAGAAGACAGACCTCCCTCAATGAGTGCACTAATTAGCTGAGCCATGCTGTCCACCCCTATTTAATTAATGAGCTGACCCAGAGTCACTACAGAGTATAGTAACAAAACATATCACTAATAATTTTACTGAACAGAACAGAATAGAACCGAAATTTTAGTGCTGGACAGCATAATAAAAAGGTGAGGTGAGGTGAAATTTGCTTGATAATATTTCGCTCATATGACGACGTGCATGCGTGTGTACGGGTATGTGCGGCTGCTTGTACTAGCCCAGACTGAAGCTGGTTTTATAGTGCTAGCCCACTGAGATAACATGCCGCAGTGAAGCATGAATATCCCACTCAGACACATTATACTGAATCCGAGCCGACCAGTCCTTGTTGTACCCATTAATGCCGAGCGCCAGGCAGGGACCAACAAGTACCATATTTTAACGTCTTTTGGTATAACGCGGCCGGGATCGAACCCGTGACCTTCCGCTCTCCGGGCGGACGCTCTAACCACTACACCACGGAGGCGGTCGTATAATAAAAAGTGAAGTTCATCACTGACATCTAAATTCACACTATGTTTCCATTCTTTACAATACTGGTCAAACATTCAAAGTTTTTTGCAATCCATCACTTGTTTCAGCTAATATGACAGTATCGTCAGCGTAAAGTAATATCAACAATTTCATAAAGATACCAAGCTGGTCCTCAATAAGCTTATTTACATGCTGTTGAATTAGTTTTTGCAAATAATAGTTAATTTTCCCATGACTCTTTTCCGCGACTTTTTTCCGATCAACCTTCTGATGGCTACCTGTATGCCAAGAGCAAGGTGCAAGGAGAAAATGATGATGTTCAAGTGACTTCCTAATAAGTGTTATCTGTGCTCATATCTGACATGTGATGTAAAATAATATGGTGCTTGGTCTCATATGTTGATAGGTACATGTATATAAATTATTGTTTTATATAATATTCACAAGTAAATGTGATCTGGCAAGTAGATGTTGATGTACATATGTGTTGATGCAATATGTCTTAATTTAAAAATCATAATTCATTACATGAATTGATAAAACTATAGTTAATACCTAATGTTTTCTTAATTTTTATCTGGGCACATACCATTATTATCAAGGGTACAGCTTCATTAAGCCTTATGCAACAAGCCATAAAATGTGTTGTTTTAAGCGGTCTTCTTTGGGGAAGTCTGTCCTATGGGAAGATACCGTATTGCAGAGTCTCAGATAGCATTCGCACGTTGGCCCAACGTTGGCAATGTTGGCAAAACCATTGTCAGCGTTGGGCCAACGTCTGAATGCTATCTGGGGTGCGGTCTTGAACAAATAAACAATCGTTAGACCCTGGGCCTAGATTTCTGAAGCTCTCTTAGCGCTAAGATAGTCGTAAGTTAATGTTAATGAATGGCACTTACGACTATCTTAGCGCTAAGAGAGCTTCGAAAATCTAGGCCCTGTATCTGTTCGTTCGTTAAATTCGTATATCCGTCAGTTGAGATATGCATGCACGTCTGTGGCTGGCAATGTGGCTGCAGTATCGCTTTTATTTTAACAACCCACCGAGACATCGTGACGTACTGTAACATGGAGCAGGTCTATTGGTGAGACGGCTCGTTTAACATTGACGTGACGGCTTTAATCGCTGATTCCATGCATTGTGTTAACACATTTAATACACGTCTCAACGACAGAGGTCGATACGCATTAACAGATACACTTGTTAAGGTTATTGCCCAAAGTTCAGTCAGGCTGAAACCACTTTACTGAATCTATTTTAACTTCACAAGGCGTAAATGGGACTAAGTAGCCAGGCTAATAACACGATTGAAGTAGTCAATTGTCAGTCGTGAATAGCTTTGCAACTTAATGAGATATCATTATTTTTTATTCAGTTTAGGTTTTTAGTTTAGTTAATTGATCAAGAAAACTATCAAATTGTCGATGTCACGTTGTTTTTGTAGGAAGATTTAAACAATCGACACACTATTTAATTGATACATGTGACAATAACGCTGTTGGATCTAACCCTGTATCTTCTAACGGGAAGACAGAGCAGAACCTAACGGGACTTTTCTCTTTACAGATGTACTGTTGTTCTTGAAAGGCATTTAGAAGTTGGACGAACACGAATACATGACACGTTTTCTAAGGATAACAACTTCTGTTTTATTTTTTATACGACCGTTCAGGGCTAATTCTTGCCTGTTCATCAGATGATAAAAATATGTTCGGTTCTTTCAAGCGGGCAGCCCACATGGGTACGATGTGTGAAGCCCATTTCTGGTGTCCCCCGCCGTGATGTTGCTGGAATATTGCTAAAAGCGGCGAAAAACCGAACTCACTCACTCACTTTATGAAGACTGTAGTCACAATGAGGACAGAGATACGATTTGGTCACCAATATCCCACGCCTATTGAAAGATCTGACTAAAGAGGATACCTAGTTGATATCATACACCAAGATATAGAATAGAAGAATAGAATAATACTTGAATGCCTTTTCAGGAATTTGTGTTGAAATTTCTGACCAAAGTCCTCAAGTTAATATAATAATTATCATGAAATCATTTTTCCAAGAAATCTATGTACACTATATTGCTAAGAAGAGACTCTCACAATATGTCGGGGTTACTGTATTTAAATGTACACTGCTCAAAATACAGTGAATCAGTCATGGACAAAGACGAGCGTTCTAAATTGTCGACCAAAAAAGGTTTACACCTATGTTTTGACAAGAGCTACAAATGACACAAAGCAGAAAATATTAATTTCAAGGTAATATTCTTGATGCGGGAACTATAGTTATGTTTTCTGACTTAAACTATCTTTATGAATGTTTTTAGCATTTAACCTGTTAATACGTTCGTAGTTTTCGTTGGTCAAATGCAATTTTCAAGTGTATACTTTATTTTGTATGTTACGATTTTACTAAATAGTTGGAACCTACATATTGTCTTACTTCCTAAAAATAACGGTTTCTGTGAGGATCTGTGAGGTGGTCTCCAACAACCCATGCTCGTCGTAAGAGGCGACTAAGTGGATCGGGTGGTCAGGCTCGCTAGTAGTTGCATGTCCTGTATTTGATATATCCCACATCTATTCTATATCCCATATTTACATTTTAGGAACAAACAAAAAAGAAATGATGAGACTTACTTCTTCCTCCCCGTATGTGAAATTCTTATACAGACGACTGGCTCTTCTCTTCACCTCCTCGGAGAATGCATGATACTCGGGGCTTGTTGGTTTCTTCAGAGTGATTGTCATCACCGACTCGTAGGCCTGCCGCGCCATGTTGTTTCTTTCCTCGGTGTCATTAACCCGGAACCATGGTCTCTGACTCTCGTTCTTACTGAAAACATTAAATAGATTTCACATATATGTTTGGGTGAGTGATTAGTACTATACTTTCGCAGCTGTTTTACATAGTCATCGCAACACGGAATGTCACTAAAAGCATATCAGTAAATATACTCTACGCTTTATGTAAATCCAAACGTCACAACTGTTTAAAACGCTACAATCCCTTTCACTGTGCTAAAGAAATATTTGTTCACACAAAGTCCATTTACTATCCCGACTATACCCTTCGCTTCCGTTTATGAATCACTATCAGATATTCAATTTGATTCCAGGTATTCATGATTATACGTCACAAACACATGCAACGGAAAGTCAACTGTTAACCTGAAAACAAAACTAATGTCCAAATAGGGACTTCTATCGGGCACACGATAACAAAATGAAAAACTTCTGTGTCAAACTTTCAGAAAACATTTACATGCGCTATGAGCACGCCCCAGTGGAGTTTGGCGCCATATAAATGGACATTATTATTATATTATTATTATTATGTACACAATGTAATTCTGTTTCACTTTGGTGAACTCTAAAACATGCTTGACTTATTTTTCGGCATGCGGAGCGCCTCATTCCATCTTGAAAGTAATCTTATAATCTCCCCAGGCAGCTATTTCATCATATTTAGTATTAATACATCTGTCATTCCAGGATTATCATGTGAAAAGCCGATCTATATTTAATTAGCTTACGTCATGAGGGTGGAACGAGCTCCAAATAGAAAAAAGTGTTGATCTATATTCCTTAAATTTCTAATCATGGTAACCACAGTGGAGATTTTATATCTGCCACGCGTGTTTTAGTTAGGTGCATTAGGTTTCAAAGTAAAAAAAATATGCACTTTCTTACTGCACACTGTAACATGGGGTATAAAGTGAGTGAGTATGGTTTTACGCCACTTTTAGCAATACCCCAGCATTATCACTGCAGGGGACACCAGAAATGGGCATCACGAATTCTTCCCGTATGGGGAATCGAACGCGTGTCAGGCGTGACATAAGAACGCTTTAACCATAAGGCTACCTCATCGAGCCGATGCTGTATAGAAAATACGTCCCAAATCAGGTGAGGATTACCAACGTGGGTTGCGGTATGAGGATGAACCGTTTCGACACCTTGAATTGTCATGCCTCCATACTGAAACACGCGTCACTCATTTCGCATTACGTAAATGACCAGCGGTCGGGTAGCCTAGTGGTTAAAGCGTCCGTCCGTCACACCGAAGACCTGGGTCTGATTCCCCTTCACAATGTGAAACACATTTCTTATATCCCTCCGCGTGATATTGCGGAAATATTGCTGAAAGCTGCGAAAACTGCATTCACTCTTTCGCTTACTGAAATGAGCCATTGAGATTGTCCGAAATACGTTGTTATATAACAAGCACTGAATGGGTACCCGACAGGAGGAGATGAAAATGTGACGCTTAAGAGACTGTATGGGTTGGGTACTTAGCAGGTAGCTGAGAAAATCAAATACAAACGACTGCACACTGATCCATGAACACGTACAAAATATTGTGTGACCATCTAAATCAATAGAAGCAGCTATGGAATAGGAGCTATACAAAATGATAAGAAAACAACAATACATACTATTGAATAAGCTCGTGGAAGAACATGTTGTATAACATTAAAAAAAACGCAAGAATTAACTCAACGACAAGGTCCCGTAGTTTCTTTCTTGCGTTGTGAACGGTTTATTGGAATTTCAATTCCAGGAATTCAAGTAGCTTCATCGAATTCCGGAAATTATTAGCAATCTCGGAAAAATAGAAATACGAACTCCTTTGATGTCATTGACAATTTCATGAAGTAATTTGAAATACTTATTTGCCAACTATAATGAGAATTTGTAGTTGACATCCAACATGGTATTCCAGTAGTATCAGATGTCTCATGGTATACAATTTCAGCGAAAGATTACTGGTAATATAGAAGACGGTACCGGCATGCCGTTCACTCAGTTCGAAACGATTTACTATTGTCAGAACAAAGAAAACCACAATAGATTAAACATCGATCTTTTGGTATTTTCTGGGTTAGTTTGTATACTCGACGCGATTTATCGCTTGCTCGCTCTCACGCTCTCTCACTCACTCGCCCAGGAAGGAAGGAAGGATGTTAATTCGTTTATGTTTAGTAACCTCAAATGATCTGGTGGGTATGGGCGACCTCTCTGTCCAAGGTGACGGAATTGCAAACTCACGCACCCAAGCAGCCTATCCACTCACTCGCTCGCTCGCTCGCTCTCTCCGTGAACATCTGCACTCATCGTGGACAGTTTGCTCCGATTATGTTTTTTAGGTTTGTTACTCAGTCAGTCAGTCACTCACTCACTCACTCCAAACTGATGAAGTGTTAACATTACCGGGAAAAGAACGCCACGGAACACTAACGCTAATAACCACCCACAGCAACGATATAAAACCGACACCGAGGAAAGTCGTTAAACAAACCCGTTATCCCTATCCAGTTACCAGTAATTATAACACAGGCACCATTTGTCTTGCTCGGATTTCAAACATGGCGTACGTAAGTAGCCGGTCTCCAAACATACAGGATACAGGGTGAATAATTGAAATGAGATCCCACCTAAACCTCCTACAGATTTCATTAATGGCTTGACAGAATTCTTTCCAGAGGGACAGGAGGAGTATCTGAGGGATAACAAGTCATATCTCTTAATCGTTGTAATGTCTGATCCAGAAGTATAATAAATGTTGAATAAAACAGGTAGTAAGAGAACACCCTGTCTGATCGAGCAAGGGCGGCAGGCGATTACAGTCCCCAGTGGACTTACAGGAATTCTTTATTACCATAATTACATATTTAACGACTAACGCTAATATGAATCCACACAGGACTGCGTACGACGTGAAGGTAATATACTTTATAGTATTGCTATGGCTCGTGATAATGGACTGCGTCCTCGTGTATACGAGAGCAGGCAGAATTGTGATAAAGTTACGATTGTATGCCTGCTTACATGTTTATTTCTGAGTTTCGTTCCATTATGCTTGCCTGAGTTGAACTGAAGTTACTAACAGTTAATGTAATGAGCTATGTGAATACGGTGTTTTCACGGGTTACCGTTGTATTGCAGGTTTGGAAGAATAAAATTAACCTGGACGGCGATTTAACTAAATATAACATTGGGTATTTCATGATGGGTATTATTGCAATCGTTTATTTTGTGATTCTTCATTCTTACGTTTTGTCGATTGCTTGATCATTCATTTATTCATTCATCTGTCCCATCATTCATTCATTCGGTTTGTCGATTTCTCATTTACTCTTTTGTGTACACATTCATTCATTCATTCTTTCCCCAATCCCTTTCAATTCTTTCATGCACAGCGAGTGGTTATGGATAAATATAGCATTGGGTATTTCATACTTTCATTGCAATCGATTAATTTTTATTCTTTCGTTTTGTCGATTGTTTGATCATTCATTCATTCATTCACTCATCTGCCCTGCTATTCGTTCATTGTTTCATTTATGCATTCTCTCGCTTTGTCGATGATTCATTCATTCTTTCGTTTTGCCGATTGAACGATTATTCACTCTTTTACTCGTTTGTCCCATTCTTCCATCCATTCATTCGTTCGTCCATTCATTGATTCATTAACCCCCCGACCACTTTCAAATCTTTCATATACAGCGAGTTGTCTTGTATGCTGCCACGATGACCCCCACAATATCACGACAGGCAACACCAAGAAGGATTCCGAGTAATGTGACAATAATTGAACAATCCACATCTAAAAGTATTTTACTCATCGCAATATCGTGATTATTTGACAGGCCATGCCAAGAATGGACCAAAGTAACGTAATGGACGGTAACATTAAAAAAATAGTTTGACAGGCTACGTCAAAACGATTTCACGTAATTTATCATTACAATAATAATTGTAGCAATACCACGACGGCTACCGCCACCAATGATTCCATGTGCAGAAACACTTCTGCAATACATAGAGAGGCCAAGCCAAGAATGTTTCCCCATACAATAACATAAAACAAGACCATGACTCGACCCACCACAATGATTCCATGTACAGCAACATTTCTGCAAAACATAGAGAGGCCAAGCCAAGAATGTTTCCCCATACAATAACATAAAACAAGACCATGACTTGACCCACAACAATGATTCCATGCAGCAACATTTCTGCCAAAAATGTTTCCCCATACAATAGATGGACCCACAACAATGATTCCATGTACAGCAACATTTCTGCAAAACATAGAGAGGCCAAGCCAAGAATGTTTCCCCATACAATAACATAAAGCAAGACCATGAATGGACCCACAACAATGATTCCATGTACAGCAACATTTCTGCAAAACATAGAGAGGCCAAGCCAAGAATGTTTCCCCATACAATAACATAAAACAAGACCATGACGGGCACCACCACAATGATTCCATGTACAGCAACATTTCTGCAAAACTTAGAGAGGCCAAGCCAAGAATGTTTCCCCATAACGCAATACCATAACGGGCACCACCAGAATGTTCCATGTATAGAAACATTTCTGCACTATATGGAGAGGCCATGCCCAGAATGATTCCACGTTAGCACATCCTGCCTCACTACAGCACCCTTCACTCACACAATCTGCATAAAAGAGTAAGAAGTGTGTGCTGCCTAACGTCGGACCTCAGTACACAACATGTGGTCCTGAGACCATCACCGTCAACTACGGTGAGCACATCTTGTAAGGCAGGCGACATAATCGCCTTAAAACCTTCTAACTTGCATCGAAAACTAACTTTTCAAGACATATACATACATGCCCGTGTTCCATGTGCATCAGTCAGAAACGAGTACTTTAGCCTAATAGCCTCAAGTTCACTGAAAAACCTCTAATGATATAGGGCACCCCAAGCTCTTTCATTCCAACTCTCCTCGTCTCATGCTGGCGAATCGACAATTAGGAATCTTCCTGTCAGACCTTCATATATATTTTTTAAGTTTTGAAAGAAGTTCTCACTTGTGGAGGGTTATTGAAAGGGTGATCTAAAAAGAGTAGATGCAGACTACTCTGCCAGAGGCTGAAGAAATTCTTAGAAATCATCCACAACTTAACTTCCCCGCATGTCTAACAAGTGCAGTTCTACCTGAAAAGCTCACTGGTGTCGACATTCCATGTGCTCGAGTGACATAAGTAGACACCGAACACTTACCTAGAAATCTAGCTAGGCACTGTAGCTTACCTATCTAATACTTTATTGCGTGTGAAATAGGCGGATGCGTTAGTTTCACGACTCGATTGTGATGGTGGTTTCTTCCTTAGAGCGCTGCAGTATTTAATCACGGCATGTGTGCATGGATGAATGGGTACACGTGCGAAGGAATCGATTGCTTGGTAGAATTATCGACACACGAATGAATGAAAACGAAAAGAAAATTATAAAGTACGAACAAATTTATAGCAGGAATGGAAGCAAGAATGGCCAAATTACGAGACGTGCACCTCTTTAAAATACATGATGCCTGTCAATTGATACAATATATTCTATAGTGAAAAACATGAATACTAGTTCTTCTCTCAAATGAGAAATTACGGACAAATTTAAAGCATGAATGGATGAAAGAAAGGCAAAATTACGAGACGATGCCTTGCTTGTTAATGCATTGAGGAAAAGCAGGCAACATAACTAGACGACGTGTTGTGTGTTGTTTCGCAATGCATTGTGGACGGAAAACAGGACAAATGGCATCGCAACGAAGCAATGAGGTCACGGACCTCCTACAATTCGAAACGTGGAGTCGAATCGTCATGCTGAGCCGAAACGAAATCTCTAGGTTATCGCCCAATGAACTTAAAATACAGTGAGTGAGTGAGTTTAGCTTTTCGCCGCACTCAGCAGTATTCCAGCTATATGGCGTCGGTCTGTAAATAATCGAGTCTGTACCAGACAATCCAGTGATCAACAACGTGAGCATCGATCTGCGCAATGGGGAACCGATGACATGTGTCAACCAAGTCAGCGAGCCTGACCACCCGATCCCGTTAGTCGCCTCTTACGACAAGCATGGGTTGCTGAAGATCAATATTACAACCCGGATCTTCACGGGTATAACATACAGAAAACGTAAAGGTGCATTTCATTGCATAATATAGTGAAAAACATGAATGCTAGTTTTTCTCTCAAATGGTCCATTGAATGCTAAAATATAAAGGTTTCATTATATTTAACTTTTGAAAAAAATATATTCTCTTTTTGTTATTCCGACTGACAAAAAATTAAGGTCATTAACAATTATAATTGCTACATAATTTGTTATTGAGAAATAGGTAAAACGATGCCTTATATATTAAATGGTCAAACAGAGAATAACATTGTAATGGTTTACTAGTATTTCATCCTTTCGTTGAAATATGTAAACATCGGTTCATCTTCTTCAAGGACGAATGAACACTGATTTTAATGAAGAAATGTACAAGGAACAGAGAATAAAATCTTAATGGTCGATTTCAGCCTTTCGCTGAAATATGTAAACACTGTTTCATCTTCTTCATGAAACCGGTTTTAATGAAGAAATGAATAAGGAACTGTTGCGTTATGACCGTGTATAGCATATGAACGCCAGATAATCTGAAGAAACGTTCAATTTGGCCTAAAACTTAAGAAAGAGCCCCAAAACAAAAACCAAACAGAAAAACGGTGAAAATTGCCAGGATTTGTCAAAAGAGCACGTATGTCCTGACCTACAGGTAGAACCTGTCACTCGCAAAGTTTGTATATACTCGGAGAGTGTATATTCCCTGGCGTTATCGATACGTACATGGCGTGTGAACCAAATATCAATTCAGGATTTGTGTATACGATAAAAATAATTAAATCCACGATGTTCAAACAGACACAACACATTCATTATCATTATCTTACTGAAGGCCTCTGCACGATCTGTCAGTGTATCATAGCTTGTGTGTTTGTGAATCACTATCAAGTAGCGATGATAAAGCTTCTTGCCCGAACAAAAACACATGCAAAGGCACGTCAAATGTTCAGCTGAGGTGAGGTGAGGTGAGGTGAAATTGGGTTTAACGTCGTGCTTGATAATATTTCGCTCATATGACGACGTGCATTCGTGTATGTGCGGCTGCTTGTACTAGCCCAGACTTAAGTTGGTTTTATAGTGCTAGTTTACAGAGATACCATGCCGCAGTGAAGCATGAATACCCATTCAGACACATTATACTGACTCCGAGACGACCAGTCCTCGCTGTACCCATTAATGCCGAGCGCCAGGCAGGGACCAACAAGTACCATATTTTAACGTCTTTTGGTATGACGCGGTCGGGGATCGAACCCGCGACCTTCCGCTCTCCGGGCGGACGCTCTAACCACTTCACCACGGAGGCGGTTGTTCAGCTGAAACACAACGCGGAAACACATGGTACAGCTGTTACATTGATGCGTCAATACAGGAATACCCTCCACATGTCTTTCCTGTTATTTAACGAGCGGTTGGGTAGCTCAGTGGTTAAACGTTCGCTCGTCACGCCGAAGACCCGGGTTCGATTCCCCACATGGGTACAATGTGTGAAGCCCATTTCTGGTGTCCCACGCCGTGATATTGCTGGAATATTGCTAAAAGCGGCGTAAAACCATGCTGACGCACTCACTACTGTTCTTTACTAGCGAGTGCAATCACTCACGCCATGAACACCTCGTGAACACAGAGCGTCAAAAGTTACTTCATATAAAAATCAGAGAATGTTGACACAGGTTTTTTAAACGCCACAGTTTCTTTTCGATGCTACCATTAACACAGTCATCCGTTCACAGGTTTCCAGAGGATAGCCATTAGCTGTGTCCCGATCCAGTCCTATTAGTGTAGTTCACAGATAAACAACGATGGCTTTTAGTACTAATGTTGCAGTCGAGTTACCTTGTCCTGGTGTAATGTATACTAATGTGTGGATTCCTTGAGTTACGCGAGTTTTAACCTAATGGCGACCTGAGCTGTTGCTTACCTTTTTAACTAGTTCTCATGTGTTTCTTGAAGCCAAATATTTATCTCAAAAGTTACAAAATATTCCTTATTTCGAATTCTTTGATGTGTGCATGCCTAGTTTGTGTTTATCATTACTGAGGGGCAAAACTGACTCATCAGTTTAATATATTTTTGGTTCATCGATGTACAGTTAGAGCATGATGTTTAATTCATAGCACGTACAGCAGGAAGGTTTGACACTCACTCACTCACTCACTCACGCAAAACTGAGAACCAGAAAATGGATCTTGACTTTGCGTCCAAGAATTGCCCCGATTACTTGCCTACCATTGCCATATGTTCTGTTTGGATGTACACTCTCAATGTGAAGAACACATTCTAGTACTTTTCAGGAGTTCCACCTGGGACTTGAACCCATGTTTGTTTGGCTTCATGCTTTGTAGAGATGTGGGGAATCGAACCCGGGTCTTCGGCGTGACAAGCGAACGCTTTAACCACAAGGCTACCCTCCATTCCCGCCCGTTTCGAACAAGAAAATAAGCTGATGTTCAAAACGTCTCCTCGTCACGTGAAAACCCTGATTCGACAATTGTGAACACATTTGTGATTTTATAAGTTCTATAAAATGGAGGGAAACTCATTCCAACTTACTCCCTATATACGCACACCTACACTGTCACACATCAACACATAAAAGTGCCTCAGTCTTGAAGGAACTCCATTCCAGCTTACGCCCCATTCACAAGGCGAAAAAAAAGATATCAAAGTGATATATGCCTTGTACTTCGTGTCTTCCACAACAATTCAAAATAAATAATATAATACCATGTCTTTTCCAGATCAACTCTGCACGGATCAAGGGGATTAAGGATGTAAAAAGCCTAATCATTCCTCTGGATTAAAATCCTGAAGGGAAGCATTTGAAATTCTTGCCATTATATGAATCCCATCACGATCGTACATCTAAAAAGACAAACTCACGACACAGAAGTACCTCGGTTGTCTTTGAGTTGTTATTCTTAATGAGATAGGCTAGCATTCCACGACCGACTTCTACAAATATTGACTTGTTCAATGGTATTGCAAATCATCATAAAAATATTTTAAGAGTTTGTGGTGTTGTAAATCTTTGAAAGAACATGCCTGGGTTAAGGCCTCGTAGGATCTATAGCCCAAACAAAAGAAGTCCATTTTTTAAAGTTATATTTGCTTGCGGTGAACATCAAAGAGACGTGATTCAGGCTTACCTTGAGAATAAATCGATATTAAAGAAGACATATTCGCCGTTGTCGAAGTTGAGCTCGTGCGCTTTGATCATGATGTCTCTCACGGAGTCAGGCGATGCGCACAGCACAACAACTGTAAAAAGAAAATGACAGATTTATTATCCGTGATACAGATGCTGGATTAGTCGTATTTTCTAATTCAAACCTACTGTCTTTTGAATTAAAACTTCAAACAAAGACTTCGTAAAATAAATTTCATTTGTACTTCAATTTAGTTTCGAGTATAAAAAAATAATCTGGTTTTGAAAGAACATTCATACAAAACAATACAATTGTTATTTTGTAACAAAATTAGAAATTTATCGCGAACGGGTTTGGTTTAATTTATTAAACAATAAATCCAAAAGAAATACGAAGATGTTCGACTTAAAATTCCCAAAAGGTCTTTTTATCCCCCGCAACGAGTTTTGCGGGGGGTATTAAAATGGACTCCGTCCGTCCGTGCACATTTGTCTTTTCCGGAGCAGAGCACTAAAACCGTTCAATGTTTCTTCACCAAACTTGGCACATACATATATCTGGTGGTGTGCTGGTACCTTTTGGTAGTTTTGGATTTCTGAATAAAATATTTTTCGGCGTTTCCATGGCATCAAGTTTGACTTAGACTGAAATTGGTGGTAGTGCTCTTTTACGGAGCAGAACTCTAAAAGCGTTCACTATTTTTTCACCGAACTTGGCGCATAGGTTGGTCTAGTGGTGTACTGGTGCCTTTTGGTAGTTTGGGAATTCTGAATATAATATTTTCGCCATTTCCATGGCAACAAGTTTGACTTAGACTGAAACTGGTGGTAGTGCTCTTTTACGGAGCAGAACTCTAAAAGCGTTCACTATTTTTTCACCGAACTTGGCGCATAGGTTGGTCTAGTGGTGTACTGGTGCCTTTTGGTAGTTTGGGAATTCTGAATATAATATTTTCGCCATTTCCATGGCAACAAGTTTGACTTAGACTGAAACTGGTGGTAGTGCTCTTTTACGGAGCAGAACTCTAAAAGCGTTCACTATTTTTTCACCGAACTTGGCGCATAGGTTGGTCTAGTGGTGTACTGGTGCCTTTTGGTAGTTTGGGAATTCTGAATATAATATTTTCGCCATTTCCTAGCAACAAATTTGACTTAGACTGAAACTGGTGGTAGTGCTCTTTTACGGAGCAGAACTTTAAAAACCTTTCAATACTCTCCTTCGACACACCAAAACGACACACCGACATAATCTTAACTGGTGCACATATTCATGAAGATTATTTTGCCATTGTGGGGAATATTGATGACTTTGTATTCTCGTTAAATCTCAGTTTGAATTTGAAAATAATCTAACGCCCCTACCCTTTAACAAAGTTATCCCTCTACTCCATGTTCGTACTTCACGCCACTATTTACCAGTTGAAAAAAAAAATACCAATAGGTGAAAGCAAATGTAAATTGTGCTGTATGAATGACGTGGGTGATGAGTTTCATTATATTTTTATAAATCTATACATTTTAGAAAAGAAAGATCAATGTATATACCAGCTCAATTATAAAAAGACCAAATATGTTAAAATGTAAATCACTATTTACATGTTATAAGATATCTGTTATGACATATCTCAGTAAAGTCTGTACATATGTCATGCATATTGTAAAATCTTCCGGCTAACTACTATTCCGCTATAACATCATGATTTATTGTCATTTGTACCTCAAATGCCGAGGATATGGGCCTGAGAGACAAAAGACGATGACAAACGTGTTGATTTGAGGATTAGCGTCATGAAACCTGTCCATACTCGCTGGATGCAGAGAGCAATTGAAAGGTAGGCAGAAATCGTGAGGTAATCTTACGTGGATGGCAGTTGGCAGGTCTGCTGGACGTGGTCCAGTGAGTTCAAACCATGTAAACTAGACTGTTTATTCAAAGACTGTAATACAACTTAAATGATTAGTGCTCAATCTTTCTTCCCCAGAATGTATTTTACTTGTTGATATAATATAATGTCGATGTTATTGTGTCAATAAAGGAATTTTTGTGAATCAATCGTTCGTCTTTGTTCACTGGGTTATCGTGACCCAAATACTAGTAATAACGATATCGAGTGCAAAAGACAATATAATAATGCGAGATTTATTAATGCGCTTCGCATATAGTCGCATTTTTCGCATTTTAATAAGTAGCTCGCATTATTTTATTGATTTACAGGTGTTACAGTGATGTACTGCCTAGTCGAACCCACCAAGAACTTTCCGGAGAATATGTAGACTCCACAACACTGCAGCCATCTGCATTACCCAGAGTGTCAGAAGGGCTATGCTCTCTGGGCACTCTCCTGACCTGCGCCAAAAGATCAGGAGGTACCAAATCAAGGGCACCGAGAACAACAGGGAGTCTGACGACATAGGATGCCAACGAGACATTTCAAAGGTGAGGTCCGCATATCTATAATTCTTTTCCTGAATCTTGCCAATCACGTTGCTGTCAAAAGGGAGTGAAAATCCAATGATATGAATAAATTCAATGGCTTTATTAAAAAGGACAAGATCAGGTTTGTTGGCCTGAATTCTTCTGAGGCTGTATATGGGCCTATTCCAAAGAATGTTAAAAGCATCATTTTCTATGATGCCCTCGACATGTTCAGGGTCGTACCATGGATGGACCTCAGAGTCAAAGCCATAGGCATGACGAAGACGATAGTAAAAGCAACGAGCCATGCCATCATGTCGTTTAAGATATGATGTTTGTGCCAAGGAAGGGCATCCACTGACAAGGTGCTGGACAGTCTCTGTAAATTCATTGCAAAGACGACATTTCATGGTAATCAGACATAATCCTTCTGGTCAGGCGGTCAAGACTCTGGATGTCATGTTTTGTCTAATCAACTACTCCAAAGGAATAGGAAAGGACTGGCACAGCAAAAATATTGGTGGCTTGGACATTGTTATGAGCATTTAGCTCTGAGCTCCAGATTTTCTTTGAGCGAGAGTTATACTCGGCCCAAAGATTATCCCGCACCCGGGCCATCTGGAGCTTGTCTCGAACATGCATTCCAAGATAGGTGTAGGCCTAATCTTCAACAATATGCTCAATACCCCCCTTGTAACTTGACCAATCCACCATTAATTACCTTGCCACGTTTCAAATGAAGACTATTACATTTGTCGAGTCCGAATGCCATGCCAATATCATTAGAAGGGGACTCAATTATTGTTTTAGTCACCTAATATTAATTAATTAATTGCTTAATTAATGCCGATGTGACTTTAAATGTTAACTCACACACTTCCGACGGTAAAATACACGTGTGGCTATTGTGCGTTATTAATTTTGAATGCTCAACTCCTTGTGCCAACCAGTTGCTTTGTCAGTACCTGTGCACCTCGGTTTCACCATGTGATATTGGTCTCTGACTCATATAACTATTGCTTTCAGCCCAAATGATCGTCAACCCAACAATCAACGTGGTCGGGGAGGAGGACATTGGATCGATCCATCATGGTATATATCTGATCACAGAACACGCGTCTATCTCCAATTTCCTTGAATGTTACACCTATGTATATTTATCTTAAATGTTTATTGCATACGGTATCTAGCATATGGACAATAATTTCCATATTTACTTTAAAGTATTCCTTATTTATCACTTCAGAGATAATATTTACGATTCCAATTTGGACAGTCTATCGGATTGTGTACATCCAGAAACAACTCATCAGAGCCAGACTTGTTTGCAGACATGGGGCTATTTTGTCGTAATAACGACGAGTATCGTAGCCATGTACATCACTGAGATGAGGAAATGATGTAGAAGGATGCTGCTGTTAATGAGTGACCTGGTTACGTCTTCCTGGGGGGCATTTCAACAGTTTTAAAGTTTCTTTTTAATTTGTTCAAATCTCGAACAACTTGAGATATAAGCGGTTAAATCACTGAGGCATCCATGAGAAATCACTGCTGAAAGCAGAACCGATTGTACAATTAGGATTATATTATGGCATCTCTTTGTTTGTTTGTTTGTTTGCACCTAGCAGTATTGCAAATGTTTGTAAATAACAGAGTCTCGGGTGAATTACATCATGAGTTATGATGACAGAGCATGTGTTAATGAATCAAATAGTGATGATACCAGGTGTTCGTGTAAAAGGTTAGCATGTCCTGCCCCACCGGTGGCACCCTTCATAAACATATGCAAATGCTTGACACTTGTAAACATGTAACTGTGGTGAGGAACAGTTGTTTTTTTATGGGCATAATCATTGGACGAAGCTCTACTATCAACCAACACAGTCGTGGATGCATGTGCTTGGTTGGTTCGTTGGCTGTTGTTGTTGAACGCCGCACTCAACAATATTCCAGCTATATTGCGTGTGTATATTATCCAGTCTGGACCAGACAATCCAGTGATCAACAGTATAATCATCGAGCTACGCAAACGGGATACGATGACGTCAGCCAAGTCAGAGAGCCTGACCCCCAAACAAGATGGGTTACTGAACACCAGTTTTGAGCCGGATCTTTTTTTTTTTTTTTTTTTTTTCGCTTTTTTTCTTCAGGTATACATACAAGTTGACGTATATTATGTAAAAGTATTAGTTCAATGCAAACATGTAGGGTCTCAATAAATAATCAATAATACATTAGTATAATTATACAGTGTCAACATTGTTACATATACATCGAAATAATTTACCTATTCAACGGTTCTAAATAGCATGTGTAGGCTGGACCATAGTTTTAGAAAGTAGGCTTTCTGGTCACGATTAATATATACATATTTTGTGGTATTATAATATTGTATGATTTGTCTCTTGATGTATGAAATATTTGGAATGAAACTTTTCTTACTACAGTTGTATATGGTATTCTTGACTAAAATAATTATCGCATTTAGTGCATAGTTATGTTTTCCTTTCATCCCAAACATTACCTGGGTATTTGTAAAACTCAATTCTACGTCTACAGTTTTATTTCACGCCATATGTTTTTTACCCTGACCCGGATCTTCACGGGTTACATGTATATGCAAGGTCAAGGACGTGAAGCTGGGAAGGACGTCATTTTGATATGGCAATCCCCCGCACCTTCCTGAGGCTGTCTAAT